CCATTGGGTTTGTTTTTTTATATTGTTACATATACTTAGAAATTTTAATGTTTTTACAAAGCCACTTTAACGTGGCTTTATTTACACTTAAATTACACATGTAATGTAGGTTTGTTGTCAGCTAGGTGACCCTTTTTGAAATTTGATTTTCAATTTTTCCTCAATTTTTATAAATAAAAATTTACAGTGTATTTTATTCTGGCATGGGCCACCTTTATAACACATTGAGTTGCCACATGTTCTTTGATGTCGTTCCAGGGTGATAAAAGCAAGGAACACATGAGACTGATTAGGATGGATGAGTCTGTCAAGGAATGGTGCCCTCCTTTTCTAATAATTTTCTGCTCCTACCCTACTTTGATCCTCATGAGTTTGCTAGGTACAGTTTATCCCATATCTTACTGAGAAGTTTCAGCGCCCAGGTGCATGGCTCCTGACCTTCACTATACCAGCAAAGCTCCTCCGCTCCTGTTTCAGTTTCTGTTTTGGAACATGCTGTCCTACTTTAGCATGATGTCAAACCTAATAGAATAACCTGACACAGAAGCACTGTGCAGATTATATTGTGGTTGGCTAGAGTTGACCACCCCGTGACAAGATGCTGATGTAATTTGGGAATTTTTTTTTAAATATATTTTTAGATATAAATGGACACAATACCTTTATTTATTTATTTTTATGTGGTGCTGAGGATCGAACCCAGTGCCTGGTACATGTGAGGCAAGTGTTACACCACTGAGCTACAGCCCCAGCCCCTGGGGATGTTTTTTAATGGTAAGAAGCAGTGCAAAATAAAGAACTGGCACCACATTAACTGAAGCAAAGACCAAGGCAAGTGTGTGTGGAATGAAACAGGATCCTTCACTGCTAATGGCTGTAATAATTCACCCCAGGCATATCTGCCTGCAGGGAGACCTGAGTACCTCCAATCTGGGTGCAGTGAGTCATCATGCCAGAAAGGAGTGTGATTAAGCCCCCTGTTTCTGTTGCAGATTGTTTGGCATCCTGGGGCATGAAGCCAGGGGATTGACCCTAGTCTTGTGTTTTATTCTGGGAGAGTGTGGCGGCTAATTGCTCTTGAATGTCAAAGGAGGAAGCCATTTATCCCATAAAGGTCTAGGGAAGGAGAGATCCACACTATCTCCCAGCAGCTCTCATGTCCCAGGGTGAGATACCTTGCACCTTTATGCTATTAGCATTTTGCCCCTTCTACCTTGTACCAGCCTTGTGAGGAAATGCCACCTTCTTTAACAGCAGTAAAACACAAGAAACTACTGTTTGCACTGGTTGGATTTTTGCTGTTATGATGCCACCAAGATAGGTCCAAGCACAGCTGAACATCAGCTGAGATAGGCTATGTAAGAAATGACATTGAAGAACAAGGGATAACAATATTATGGCTCTACATCATTGGCTCTTAAGTTTAACATGCTTAGATTTGCCTCAGAAATGGGAATTGTGAGGTCTGGGGGGAAATGCTAGTCTGTGGTCCTGATTGAGGTGGCTCTGGGGCCACCCTTGGAGAAGCTCAGCTCTGACTAATCTGCTTTCTGAGACAGCCCTCGGCCTGCATGCCCATCCCACCTAATGCCACAGAGAAGAAACACTTGGCTGAATTTCTCCTCGCCAGCTCAGTGGGCCAGAACTGAGGGATTTCCTAATAGACACGCACTTCCCTTGGAGCCTGTGGAGAGGCCTCTTGGATCTACCAAGGCCTGCCCTTCAGTTTCTATGTCTTCTCAGAGAACTGGCCCTGTCTATGTGGCTGTCTCTGGGCAGGGTCCTACAGGTGCTCCAGGTCAGAGTCTTACCTTGACATCATCAGGGACATCTTTCCCACCTCATTTCCCAACTTGGAGGTCTGTTTCTACCAGACAACCAGACTAGAACTTGGAAATCCTGATGATCTATGGGCCACATTCCAAAACCACCCCTCGGTAATTTGGTTTACAAGTCTTGGGACAAGTTCTGAATCCTGGAGTAAACCAATTTTTTTTTTTTTTTTGTTTTGTTTTCCTCCTTTGCATTTCAGTTTGCTACAACTAGCTTGTCCTATAGCCACAGGAGCGCAAAGTAGCTTGTTCAAAGTGGTGTCCAGGTTGGGCCAATAATGCCCTTCCATGACTGAACTACTTTTGGCTATATTTCATGGTAGCACAAGGGTTAACCCGCAGCTCCTTCTAAATAATTATTAACTAGCACATAAAACATGGTAGAAAACACCCATCTGTGAGCTGAAATATGAATTTTAGTGGTACTCTGAGGTTGTACTTGGGGCTTCTCGCCTCTAAATGCCAAAATTGTCTTCAGGGACTTCTGTTCAACTCCTTTTGTCAATAGCAAATGTGTCCAAATCCTGCCAGAGCCACTGGGGCTACAAGGACATTGGGAAATGGTAAAATCTGCAACAAATCCCACCCTGGAGACTTGATGTAACTGGAGGGTCTTTCTGATTCCAGACTAGAGCCAGGTTAACCTGAAGGACCTTGACAATGACAGTGTGGTTCCCAGTATTTGTTGCACATAGAAATTCACTTGTGCACATCAATCTCTCAGTTTTTTGAGGAGTGGTGGTGGAGGGTGTATCAGAGATTGAACTCGCGGGCACTCAATTACTGAGTCATATTCCCAGCCCTATTCTTTATTTAGAGACAGGTTCTCACAGAGTTGCTTAGCACCTCATCGTTGCTGAGGCTGGCTTTGAACTCCTTTCCCAGCCTCCTAAACTGCTGGAATTACAGATGTGCGCCACTGCGCCTGGCTTCCACCTCTCACTTCTTCATTTGCTAGCCTGTATGTTCACTTGCCTGTTGGGCCCAACTTTCTGCACAAAGTTACTTGAAGTTTGAAACAAATAGGCGTGATGCTTCGGCCCCCTCCCAGCCAGTTAAATCTGAATCCTGAGGGGCTGGAGAGCCCCCCCCCCCCAACCCCAGGGAATTGCAGTGTCCAGCCATGGAAGAGCACAAGGCCTTGCCCCTTCTTACACATCTTTGCCTGCCCTGCCATGCACTCCCAGGGACAGCCTTGGACATTTCTACGTCAGAGTGAATAGGTGTAGAGAGGGAGAACTGATAAGAGAAAGGAGAAAAAGGAGCCGCAGTGCAGGGGCTAAAGGCCTTCAAGGTGCAAGCCTCCCAGGCCCTGCAGCCTTTGGCCATCTGGCTGTCGTGAGGCCTGGGAAGTATGGAGGGAGAGACCCGGCCTCCCTCTCTGATGGCCTTTGGGCTACAGCTGACTTGCAGAGTAGTTTTGTTTGGCCTGCAGTGTGGTCGCACGTGATGTTTGAAAGAAGACCCGCTGCTAAATCAAATGGGGCTCTTTTGAGTGTGGGTTCATCAGTTCCTTTTTGTCAGGTTACCCCATAAGAGTGATGAGTGACAGGGAGTATGATTTAATGTTTCTTTTATTCTGGAAGGAAAAATGGGGTTTGCTATTCAGGTTTTATTTTCACCACTTGTTGCTCATCTGGCCCTCTGAGGCTGGACTAGGGCGAGTGGCTGGGCTAAGGTGAGTGGCCAGGCAGATAGCCCTCCCAGATTCCATCTTGCTTCTGCTCTGGAATCTAGGGTGTCTCTTCTCTGGTTCTGAGTGTCCTCAGTAATGAGGAAGTAAGGTTCTGTTTGTTGGGATTCCAAGGAGTGAATGATGCAAGAATAGAATGGAGACACCTTGGTTTAAGAGCAGCCTGTGTGTGAGAAAACAGGGTTGGGCTGTGGGAGGATCACTGCTGGAACCCCAGGCTGGAGAGGGCCGGGAGTCCTGGGAGCCCCAGGAGAAGAGCTGGGACTAAGGGGTTGGCACTACAGTGAAACTTGTGGGTTCTAATCATCCACCCTGGCCAAAGACGGAATGGGTGATCTTAGGAGGGAGGAAGGATCCCTGGCAGTGCCCCACTGTGGAGCTGTCATGCAGACAGGGGCCAGGTGGCCCCATGGAAGGCATGCTGCAGGGAGCCTGCGGTGGGCAAGACCATCCCCACACTTAGCACCATGTGAGCCATCTCCCTCCTTGTTAAAGCAGCTGTGGCTCACCTGGACACACTGCCGCAGAACGCAATGTCAGTGCCTCACTTGTTTCTAAACACTTTTAATTTCTTAAAAATATTGACAGTCAAGGTCGCACTTATGCACAAGGGAGCAGGTGCCTTTGATGTATCCCCGTTTTATTTCTACCTTGAAAAAGGTTAAGGCATAAATTACTCTGCTGGGCACCCGGCATGCCCCTTGTCCTTGGGGTGCCATCATTGGTCTGACACTGGTTCAGGGGGTCGGTGGGCAAGATGTTTGCCACCAAAGCTGCACAGGCCCTGAGGGTCCTTGCACGAGCTTTATTCAGTGCATTCCAGAGAGGACCCCTCCACAGCCCGGCTGAACCCTTCTCCGGGGCAGTGGTGGGAGACGGGAGGGGTGGGAAGTTGTGAGCGAGCGTGTGTGTGTGTGTGTGTGTGTGTGTGTGTGTGTAGGGGTGATGCAGGGAGGGGTGCCCTACCCTTCCCCCTCTACTAGGCTGCAGCTGCAGCTGGAAGACAAGTGGGAACGAGGAGCCCAAGGGATTGCGCCATCCGCACACTTCCTGTGAGGTACCTAGGAACAAAAGCAGCTGGGCAGAGGCAGCCAGGAGGGCAGGAGGCCGAGAGCCACCGACTGGCAGCTGGGTGGCACAGCGATGCACACAGGTGGCTGATGTCGCCCAGCATACTGAGTCCCTCCTGCTCATCTGGTTCAGTTTCCTCACCCGAGCATCTTTCTTTATCCCTGGCCTGCCGCTGTCATCTTCATGGGTTCAGGTTCATTCATGGAGAGTTTGGGGGCCTGTCTGTGGGGCAGACGGTGGTGTGACTTCGGAGCCAGGGCTTGGGTGAGGGGTGGCAGGGCCTCCTGGCGTACGGGTCTGCCGTGCTATGGGGTCCTTTGGGAAGTAGAGGCCTGGGTCGGGGACAGAGTGGCTGTATTTACAGTCTTCCTCCGTGGGTCTCTCAGTGGGCATGATTGCAAGTTCCTAGCACCATGATGGCTGGGGCGGCAAATCCTCCATGTAGCCTGGGGGAGGCCTCGGGTGGGCCTCGGAGGCTCCCTTCAAATCCCAGGGATCTGAACTGGAGGTGTCTCGGCCTCCCACGGGGCGATTCCTCTTAGCACCACTTGAGTTCCATCCCAGGAGTGGGCGCCTTCGCTTGGGAGACGAGGTCAAGTACAAAGCCAGCTGGCGTCCTCTCCGCTCCGCTCGGTGGGCCACAGGCCTGGGCTTGCACAGCCCTGCACTGGAATCTGGCCCCCGGCAATTTGAAGCCTCCTCTGGAGCCTCACTCCATCACTTTGGGGCTGGGGTCCAGGCCAGGCTCCCTCTTGCGCTTGGCATTTTTAAAGAAGCCAAGCTGTGGTGAGGCAAAGGGAGAAGTCTCAGGGTGGACAAGGCCTGTCTCTCCTGCCGCCCCTCCCCCAACCCTTGTGGGGTCTCCTCTCAGGGCTTCCCTGAATACCCCAGCTCACTCAGCACCCTCACCACCAGAATGGCTCTGTGGACTAGAGCAACGTGGATGAGCAGGATGCAAGAAGTCATGCTGGCTCCCACCATCTTCCTGGGTGACTCTGCCCTGGTTACTATCCCTCTCTGGACCTCCTCACTTTATCAGTAGTAACAAGAGGAGGTTGAGACTGGGGTTCTTAACCAGAAGTTCAGAAGTGGAGAAGGGTTTGGTGAGTTTGTTAACAGCCTACACTGTTGGAATCCTGTGCAGTTGTGAACTTGCTCTTTAATTTTTTTTCCTGATAAGAGGAACCCCAGTTTTCATCAGCTTCTCAAAGGGTCCTATACAATCAAGGGTTACAGCCACAGTCTGGGTGCCCAGTGCTGGCCTTAAGCAGTGTGGCTGCTGTGGGGAGGGTCTGGGCGCTACGGCCACAGGCAAGCTGTAGGAGGAGGCCCGTGGCTGTCAGCTCTCATGGAGAGGAGCCTATGGCAGTGACCACAGGGCCCAGACCGAGAGCCAGGATAGGCCAGGATGCTCCTGTGTCCCTGCCCTGCAGGTCTCACCTTCCAGAGTGCCAGGACGAGCAGGGCCAACAGCAGGAGGCCCCCCAGCGTGCTGCCCACGATGATCCAGATGGGGACCTGGGAGTCCTCTTGCTTGGAGATCTCAAACGTGACCTGCGAGGGAGGGGGAGCCAGGTCCATAGTGTCACCGCTCTGGGACTGGGTGGCAGCCCTGTGCAGGGCAGGCGTCAGCAGACACCTGGAGGGGACTGTATCCCTTCCTCAGGGAGGCGCTGGAGGGATGGCAGGCGTGGCTGGCAGTGCCTGCAGCCACCAGCCCCTACAGTGGGCACCAGCGTTAGGTGGCCCATGGCAGGCTGCCTCCGGGAGTCGCTTTCTGCTTCTCCCGCTCTGGCCACCCACTCTCCCTGGATTCTGCCACATGGGCTGCTCCTTTTCCATCCTCTCTGCCACTTCCTCACTGTCTGCCAAACATCCCAGGGTTACCCCATGCCATATCTCCTCCTTTCCTGTGGTCACTCCCCAGGGGACCCAGGGCTGCCTTCTGGGGCATCATAGGCAGGGTTGGGGCCCACAACACTTTTAGGGGCCCGGGAAATTTTTACTTGCCTTAAAAATTAGAATTAAAAACATTAAGACAATTTAACCTGGATTATATTCATTCTTTTCATACCAACAAGTTGAAAAGTAAGAATTTATTTGTTTATTAATGTTTTAGTGGAGGAAGGGCCCCCAAGGCAAAAGTGGCCAGGGCCGTGGAAATCACAGAGCAACCCTGGGACTCACTGGCTTTCACTGTAACTGGTGACCACGTTCACGTTTCCATCTTCTGCCTGGCCCCTCCACTGAGTCCCTGACGTGTCCATCAGTCTCCTTGGCACACCTGGCAGCTTCCACAGGCCCCCGACCCAGCTCCTGACCCTGCTGTTCACCCCAGACCTGCTCCTTTGGCATCTGTCTCACCAAAGCCAATGGCAGCATTGTCCGCCTCTTGCTACCCTCAGGCCAGAGACCTCTCCTCCTAGTGGAGCTCACTTTCACACCCACATGACTCCCTCAGCAGGATTTCCTTAGAAACACTCTGAATGTGGCCGCCCCTCCCCACCTCCTGGGCTGCCCCTGGGTCTGAGCCAGTCTCTCCCTGGAGTCTGCGATGGTGACCTAACTGCCCCCCTGCTCTGCCCATGCTGAGCACAATGGCCAGGGGGATGCTTTCAATCAGAAAGGAGACTTAGCTTCTGCTCAGAGTCCCCTGTCACTCAGATGGAGGGAGGAAGGCCTTGTGCTGGCCCTTAGGCTCCCACTCCCTGGCCCTGCCATCTCGCAGGCCTTGTCTGCAGCACCACGCCAGCCCCCCACCCGCCACTTGGCTTCTGACTGCCCATGTGCCCCTGTGGGGCCACACCACTGCTGTGCCCTCTGCCTGCAAGGCGTCCCCACTCAATGCCCGGGACAGTGGCTAGAACATGGTAGGAGCTCAGGAAACCCGTGGGGGGTCCACCTGCAACAGCCTGGGAGAGCCCTCCGTGGCCACCAACTCCCTAGTCAGCCTGAGGCAGCCCTGCTCCCCTTCCTGAACTCGCAGCTTCAGTTTCTGTGTCTGAAAAGTTGGGGTGCGAGGCGGGCCTCATGGGGTGGTGAGGAGTGAGTCAGACTCTGTGCTGTCTGCCATGGTGCTGGGCCCATCTCGGGCTCTGCATATGGTCGGTCCCTTGTAAGATCTTTTTCTGTCCCTGCAGGCTGGGACCTTGTTCTACCTCCCCACCTGCCTTGGGTCTAGTGTTGGTGCTCAATTTGGAGGTTGCTGGATTTCTACAAGAGAAGTGAGGTGTCTAGAGAGTCTAAGAGGGATTTTTTTTTTTGGAAGGCTGGGAGATGGAAGAGGTCCCCTAACAGAACCATGATGTGAGAGGGGTGGTGTGTCTGTGTGGGAAGGGGGCTTGCCACACCTCCTCTCTCTCGAAAAATTCTAACATCTTTCAGGAATCAGTTCAAAGGGACCATCCCCAGGACATTCCTGGCCCTGACACTTCCTCCAACGTCCGAGCTTCCCCACATTGTCCCACACTTGGTGGTCACTATGCTGTTGTCCGCCTAATTCACCTCTATCCTCTGCCTGGCGGGAGCTGTAGAAGGGGCACCCAACACAGGCCAGATGGAGGAAGAACAGGGGGAGGCTGGGTGGGTGCTGGCTCCCTGGGGAGGAAAGCCTGGCAGTGACCGCAGGCCTGAGGCCAGAGCTGAGGTGCTGCTGTGTCCCTGCCCTGGGGGCCTGGCCTTCCACAGCTCCCCACTGTGCCTTTGGGTGGGTCCCCACTCCTCACGGCTTCTGGGCTTGGCCCTGCTGCCCCTCGGCCTGCTGTGCCCCACTCTGATTGGGGCTGATGTCCGCTGGCCTCCTCCAGACCTTGCCTGTCCTGCAGGTCCCTGGCTCCTGGGGCAGGGTGGAGTTTACTCCTCCTGTGTCTGGGGACTCTTGCCCAGAGCCCAGGCTGGTGATTCTGGGATGTGGCCAGTGGAGGGCAGCAGAGTCCCACGCCCGGCTGCCCCATCTGTTTCTGCAGAACTGGGCAGTCCCAACTTTCCCAGTCCCAGAGAAGATCTATCTCATTGACCTTGCCCCTTTCCTGGACCCTGACTGAAGCCAGTGTGATCTGTAACAATCTGATTTTATCTTTTTTTTTTTTTTTTAAGAGCCCAAGTACTGAGACGTCTTGCATCTCTTAGTCTTTACAACTGCAGTTCACACCAGGCTCCTGACACCCAGACACCCAGGCTGCTCGCAGATCATTAGAACTGAGGTGCCAGCAGCTGGAGAGGAGAGGCACTGGGCACCTGCCCACTTCTGTCCCTCCCCACCCTGCCTGAAGGATTATTCCTATTGCTTTTTTTCTCTGCTTAGCCTGCCCATCTTTCTCTTAGGAGAACCTGGGGCACGGTAGCCCTTTCCAAGCCTGGGGGGCCCAAGCCCAGGTCTGCTGGGTTCCCAGGGGCTCACCTGGCGGCTGGGGTCCTCCTCACGGAAGATGAAGGGACTGTGGAACTGCCTTTGCAAGGCTGCGTTGATAATGATCTTCACCGACCTGTACTTGAGCTGTAGTCATAGGCAGAGGCCTAGTCAGGGCTGGTTCAGAAGCTTCTGTCCTGCCCCTCCTGGGCAGCCGTGGGGGGAGACCTGCCAACCTCCGCCCCTTCCCTCCCTTCCCTGCAGCCTCGCCCAGAGTCCCACTCACTGCTTTGAGGGACCTCAACCAGAGGTTCCCCAGCAGATGGAAGTTGATTTCCTGATTGGGGGCCAGCCTCACGTTGCAGTTAATGGAGACCACGTCCGAGTTGCTGTGATTCTGAAAGAGAAGATGGGTCTGGTGGGAGCAGCAAGGCTACAGGGAGCAGGGGAGGCAGCTGGCTGGCTGTGACCTGGCGTGCCACCAGGGTCTTGGGCCACCATGGGGTTCCACCAACAGGGGCTTCGCTTCTGGGTGAGGGCGTGGCAGAGGGGTGGGTGTGGGGCACATAGGCTGGGGTCCAGGCTCCCTGGAAGACACACTGGGGTTGGCATATCTGATGCTCCTCTGAAGTCATGCACCGTGACCAGACTGGGTGTGTTCCGGGAACAGAACTCGAACATTAAGGAATCTGTAAATACCTTTGCCATATAAATAGATTCAAAGAAAAACAATCTGATCAATGCAACAGGTACAAAAATAGTATTTTAGGAAATCCAAGTTCTGTTCATGATAAAAACTCCCGGGGAACTTCCTGGATCATGTGTGTGTGTGTGTGTGTGTGTGTGTGTATGTGTGTGATGCTGGGGATTGAACCCAGGGCCTTGTGCATGTGAGGCAAGCATTCTACCAACTGAGCTATAGCCCTAGCCTTCAATGAACTCTTTTTAAATGTACTGCATTTTATTTACATTTGTATGCTGAATACTTTACACATGAGACAGGTTTCTCTGTTGATGACTACCCTCAAGTTCAGCCCTCCCCATCTGCAAAGAACGATTACTGCCATGGATTTGGTGTGCATCCTGCAGAGTCTCTTTCTATCAGGAACGCATAGAAGAGAGTGAGAAGCAGCCCTAAAAGGCTCCACAGGCTGTGGCTGGTGTTCAGACAGTTTCTCCAACTGCCAGACGACATGCTCCATACTTGCTCCTTGTTCTCCCAACCCCTCTGGTCTCTATCAAAATTTTTTTTTTTTTTAGTGCTGACAATTGAACCTGGGGTCTTCAACATGTGAGTCAGGTGCTCAGGAACAAAACGCCTCTGGAGCAGGGTGGCACTCCTCTAGCCCAGCCCCCTGGCTCTTGGTTTGGGGCCACTCACCAGTTGTGGGGTACGACTCAAGTCTTCCTCCATTGGGACTGGCCGATACTCGGTGCTGTTACCCCAGACGTTGCAGGACGTGTTCACCTGCGCGGAGGACACGGGTACACATGCACACATGCACCCCCGAACCTCGTGGCCACTCTGGCAGACCCAGTCTCCCAGGATGTTCCATTTCTCTTCTGCCCAGGGAAGGCCCAGCTGCCCTGGTCCTGGGAGAAGAAGCTGAGGTTTGGGGACATGGGGACATGCCTAGGGACTATATCCACCTCCTTCTGACCCCCTCCCCCTGAGCCAGCTCCAAGAGCGTGTGGTACCTGGTCAGTGAGAAAGTCCCTCAGCATCAGCAGGCGGTTGCCACCCCTGGTGGCGACGGGAACAGTGATCTTCATCATCACCCCATGGATGGGGAAAAAGCCCAGGTTCTGAATCTGTGGCAGAAGCAGCAGCAGTTGAGGGAGGGGAGGAAGAGGCCCACAGGGCCAGCAGCCCCGGCTGCCCCCAGCCCATCTGGGGCGGGACCACTGCCTGGAGGTTTTCACTGTGGAAGCTACAGAGCTCGGCCAGAGGGTGGCCGGGCTGCGAGGACCACAGTGCAGGAGGGCTGACGGGGCCGGGCCCCCGGGGCTGAGAGCAGGGACCCCTTCCAGACTCAACCCCTCGTGGCTCAGGGGATTTTGTTAAGGCAGGAATGGAGACGGTGACAGCCATTACTGTATTACGAGAGATAACTCCTGATCAAGGCAGGATATAAACATGTGATAGTTGGCATCCTGGCCCCAACACATCCAGGGCCCGAGCAGCGGAGGTTACAGGCAGGGCTTTGGAATCAGAGAGACGGGGAGTGCCACCCCAAGGAGGAGCTGTGTGGCCCTGGGCAAGTCACTGATCCTCTCCTGGGCAAGCCAGGCAGAGTTCAGGGTGTCTGCAGCCCCGATTCCCACTGTCAGCTGCCCCCAGCTCCTGTACTGTTGAAGGAGAAGTTGACAGACTCATTTCAGGGCAAGGAAGATTGGGGACACTGTAGCAGAGGCCGCTAAGCTGCTTCTAGCCAGCTCCCTCTCAGCTAGATCGTAATGTTCTGCACAAGGAGACACACTGGAGTGTGGGGAACCGCCAGGGAAGTTTTTTAATAGGGAGGGGCCGTGCTCTTTCCCTTTCTTTCTTCCTGCTGCCTGGAATGAGAATGGAATGATTGCAATTGCAGCCATTTTGTACCCCAAGGTGAATTTGAGGCTGGTATCCCATGCTGACGGTGGCGAGACAAAAACCCAATCCTGGATGACTCTGTGAAGTCATGACTGGACTTCTTTTATGGGAGGGCATCAGTCCTGATGTGCTTAAACCACTGCTTTTTTAAAAAAAAATTTAAAAATCTCTGGCAGACACAGTTCATTTCACTGATGCCCCCCACCCTGCCCCCACCAGCCTGAATGTTTTTTGGATGAAGACTCAGAAGCCCCGAGAGGGCAAATAACTTGCCAAAAGTCGTGCAATGAGTAGGTGGCAGGGCTCAGGCTGGGCTCCAGCCATTAGTGATGATTCCAGATTCCTCCCCCTCCCACATGCATGGGGGCTTGGGTGTCCTGAGCTCCTGCCCTTCAATCTCCACGGGGCATCCCCCAGCCTTACCTTGAAAACACAGTGGAAGGGAGGCCCGGTACCATCATAGCTGTCCAGTGAGCTGTTGGCCTTGACCTCGTAGTGGCTCAAGCTGCTGCTCCTGCAGAGACAGGAAGGACCACCATGAGCAGCCTGTGTTGGCTTGATGGACAAAGGAATGGAGAGGGTGTGGGCCTGTGCTGCCTCCCCCAGACCACAAATGTTGCATTTCCTCTTTTTTTTAATTGATACTGGGGATTGAACCTAGGGGTGCTTAACCTCTGAGCCACATTCCCAGCCCTTTTTTATATTTTGTTTAGTGACAGGGTCTCATTGAGTTGCTTAGGGCCTTGATAAGTTGCTGAGGCTGGCTTTGAACTTGCAATCCTCCTGCCTCGGCCTCCCGAGCTGCTGGATTACACCACCAGCACCCGTCCACATTTCCGCTTCTGTCCCCTGGAATGCTGCCTTGAGAAGGGTCCTGAGGTTCAGCAAGAGTAAGTGCTGCGATCAGCTAGCTGTGGCCTTGGTGGGCACCACTCAGAGAGCTGGTACCTGCCATCCCTGCCCCTCTTCTCCACCTGGGGCCGTGGCCTCTGGTGAGCACCACCCTGCCCACTGTGTGCCCTCTCTGGGGCTGGAAGTCCCCCTTCCGCCCTGAGGGTGCTGTGTCCTGTCTTCTCTGTCTGCCAGATGGGCTGGTGGGTGGGGACAGTGTGGCCTGTGGGGGGTCTTTCCTCAGTGGCATTGCTTAAAATTACTTTGGAAATGATAAAAGCAGACTGACTTTTAGTTGGGCTTTAAAATTCTGTTTTTAGCTTCCCTACAGACAGGGTACCCACCCGACAGGGCACCCACCCGACAGGGCCTGTGCTGGGGAGCCTCTCTGCCCACCACCCTGCGGCTGCTGGGAGCTCTGGGGAGGGGGCCAGGCCTGACACTCCTCCTTCCTCTCACCGGACACCCCTCCCACCATGGGCGAGGGGCTGTACTTCCTGACCCACCAGGGACACACTTGGCTCTTTGTTGCCCATGTCCCTTGGTACTGGGGCCCAGAGGTGCCCTCTGGGGTGGGGACATGGCCCACCTGGTGAAGAGGACGTCGGCCTCGTACTTGAGGTGGAGGCGCATCAGGGCCGCGTTGTCTTCCTTGGTGCTGTCCTGCTCATCACTGTCACTATGGGGACACTCAGGTCAGGAGGAGCCCGCCCTCCATCCTGCTCTGCCGGTCCCTGCATCCCCACAGCAGGAGGGACCTGAGGCAGACCCAGGGGGACACGAATGGCTTACCCAGGGGATGTGCACCGGGCCAGGCTCAGGAGGGAGCCGGCTCCTTCCCAGGGGAGAAAGGCCAGGGAAACCAGAATGTGGAGGCCAGCCTTCCCCGACGCCTCCCAAGGGATGCACAGGTGTGGGGTTGGGGAGGACCCTGGGCCGGAGTACAGGTGGGGGCAGTGTGGGGCTGGGCCCTGCCTGCAGGGCTTCCTCTTTGTGGAACTGCCCACTACTGCTCAGGGCTGCGGGCAGGAAGGATAGTGGGGTTCACGTGGAGTTGGTCCCTGATCCCCAAATGCCTGGTGTAGGGTGCAGGTGCTGCTCAGAGTCATGTGGAGGGAGGTGGCCACCATGTCCCAAACAACCTAGCATCATCTGCTACCAGGGCAGATGCAGTGGGCACCGCTTGTCCTGAGCGCTGCTTTTCTCCTGTGCAAGTTCGGCCCCGGGCTGGGGGTCTAGTTAAGCCTCTGATACACAGACACTCTGCCATGCCTCCCTCCACTCCCCCAGGAGGAGAGAGGGAAGAGGCCGAGGAGGCCTGGGAGTACCAAGGTCTTGCAAACTGCCACACGGGGCGGGCAAAGCCAGCAGGAGACGAGAACATGCTGGTGGGCTGGTGTGGGCCGCCCAGTCCCCTGGCCTGTGTGTGTGCGAGTGTGTGCACGCCTGCTGGAGCACTGGGGCTTGGGTGGCCTCAAGTACTTATTTCTCAGCTAAGGATCTTGGCTATTTCTGAGGCTCCAGAGTGCACAGAATTCCTGCCTCCCTCCTGACACAGTTTACTACTGTCACCGGGTGATTCTGGTGTCAACCTATAGCAGGCCACCTCAGGGAGGCCTGGGGGGCAGACAGACCCATACAGAGTAAGAAGAGTTCTCTTAAAAATGAAACAAATTTCAAAGGGAAAGAGGCAGCTACATGCTATGTGTTGTTGGGAAATCCACTCAACCTCTCTGAGCCTCTCTTTTCTTAATTATAATTTGGAGGGTGTGGTGGGGAATAGCTCCTGCTTTGTTGAGATTAAGGGACTTCTGTGAGGAATGACATAATGTACAGTGCTTTAGAACTATAGTTGTTGTTGTTTTTTTTTTTTTTTTTTAGTTTTTTTGTACTGGGGTTTGAACCCAGGGGCACTCTACAACTAATCTACATCCCCAGCCTTTTTATTTGATTTTGAGACCCTATGGGGTCTTGCTAAGTTGTGGAGGTTGGCCTTGAATTTGTAATCCTCTTCCCTTGCTTCCTGAGTGCTGGGATTCCAGGTGTGGGCCACTGCTCTTGGCCAGAACTGCAGGGTCTTTAAACACCTCTATCTAAAGGCCAGGGACCAGCATTCCCACCCACATCCAAACCTCCCAAGAATGAAGAGCGGCTGTGCACAGGGAGCAGCTGGCCCACCCTCGCCCCACCCACGGCTTCCCCATGTTGGGGCAGGGCTTGGTGGGATTCAGTGTGGAGAGGGGAGTTCTAGGAGCCAAACAGGGAGCCGGCCTGGGAGGGGCAAGCTGGGAGGAGAGGGAGCAGGCTGGGCCCTGACCTGCCTGAGCTGAGCTGGATCTCCAGGTGGTGCAGGAAGATGGACTTGCTGAATTCGAAATCCAGACGGAAAGCCACCTGCACGGGAGCAGGGCCTGAGCCTGGGCATAGCGGGACCAGGCCTGGCCCACCCCACAGCCCCTGCCTGTGTCTCGCCCAGCCGTGGGCCAGGCTGGCTGGGAGTGGGCTGGGGAAGGAGGACTGCTGGGCCTGGGGCCTGGGATCCTCCTGAACTGGGTTTTCGGCTGGCTGGGGCAGGGTCCTCCCTCCTCTTCCTCCTTGTTTTTAATGAAAGCCAATTAAAAGGTGGCCTGTCCTGCCTCAGACCCTCAGCAGGATTTTCAGGGGGAGGAGGGCCTTGGAGGTGGGGGAGGGGAGCAGCCATGACCACACAGAATGGCGTCAGAGGCTGGCAGGGCACCTGCTCCCTGTCCAGCAGCCCAAGGCCACACTGCTGACCGGGTCCTGGAACTCTCCTTGCCCTTCCCTGGGGGTGGGGTCCTGACTGTGGCCTTGCCACATCTGACCTTAATCCACTAAAATACTTGGGAGCCCCTGCAGACCTCCCACCTGCCAGTCCCACTCTGGTCCCCTCCCTGGCTCTCTGTGCCTCCCCCAGACTCCTCCAGCCTGCCCCAGCCTCAACCTTGGCCTTGGCCTTGAAGAAGGGGTAGCTGACGTTGCAGACTTTCTTGTGTAGTCTCCTCTCCTCGTTCACACACTCGATGCTGCTCTCGGAGTCATCCTGGGTGGGGGGCGAGGCATCAAGGCAGCAGTTAGGCAGGGCCCAAGGTGTGCAGCCACCTGCGCTGCCTCCTGACCACCCGAGAGACCACCGCCCACCCCGAAGCCTGGGGCACAGGCCTTCTGACCACTGCATCCAGGTCTCTAAGGCCAGGGTGCAGCCTGGTTCATGGCCCAGGGCATGATGCAAGAGCCAGCTGTGCTTGGTGGCCAGGTGCCGATATGGGCAGGTGCTCAGGGGCACTTTTGCCCTCCCTCTGTATCAGCTGGATGTCCCACTGCAGGCAGGACACGGAGGCCCAGAGACAGGAAGCACCTAGGCCAGCCTGCTGGACCACTATGTGGGTGGGGTTTGCAGCCAACTTGAAGACTCTGCTTTGGCCACCTTTAAGGGAGGCCGCTCTGTGCGCTCTGCTGATCCTGCTGCCTTCCAGCTCCGCAGTCCTTGGAGTGACTGTGAGCTTTCCATCAGGACCAGAAAGGGTCTCTTGGACATGAAATGAGGTTTTGTGGCCTCACATCTTTACAACTCAGAAAGACAGTGAGTGGGCTGCGGATTGACACCTGGGGTGGGGTGGGGCGTGAGGCTTTTGTTGAGGCTCTGTGCCACCTCAGGACTTGGTCCATAGGCCAGGGAGCAAACCTGGGGCCAGCAGACGGGCAGGCACTGGGGAGAGGCAGCGGTTCCACCTGCGACAAAGCCCCCCCAGCACTGTCTCCTCTGGGACTCTGAATAGTGGGTCACTTCCTGGCTGTTGGCCGGTGTGAGCTGGGCCCCACTGGGCCAGCACTGTGTCCCCTGTGCGTGGGAGCAGAGGGAGGGGCTCACAGGTGCTCGGGCTTGGCCACGCACTCTTCGCCACGTCTCTTCCTGCTCATCTGCTAATGAGGATGACGGCACCCACCCATGCAGTTGTCACAGGATTAAGTGATAAATGCATGGGAAAGCAGAGTCTGGTTCCAGAATGCTGTAGTCACTCGTTCCCTGGCCGCTGCTGTCATGGTGGGTATGGCCAGGGTATATGCGTGCGGTCAGCACACGTCTGTGCAGACTGCGTTGGTCTACACGTCAGTGCGTGTGCCTGGCTATATGCACGTGAATGTATACATAGGTTGGTGTGTGTTCGCGGGCATGTGGTCAGACTAACACATTAATTTATGTCCTGCTGAGAGGGTTGCTTCCTCCACCAGAGCTCCTTGGCTGGATGTGGGGAGACTGGACAGGAGAGCTGAACTTCCACACCCACTGCCACGGTGGGCAAGCCCTTCACAGAACATGGCTTCCACTTCTCTTTGTCTCCGTGTACTTCCAGAAGCCCTTCTGGGCCACAGAAACAAAACTCATGCCTCCCTCCCCAGGGTCGGGACAGGCAGTTACTGGCCTTGTGGAGGGTAGGCCAGGGGGTGCAGGGATGGGGCTTGATTCCCCTGTGGATGGGGCTTGATTCCCCTTTGGATCCCAATTCCAGACAGACACTAAATCCTAGGGCAGGGAGGGCACTGAGAGACCATCAGACGGCTCCCTGTCACCCCTCTGGGCAGTGGGTGGGGAGTACTGTTGGCCCCAGACCAGGCCCCTGACCAGCATGTGGACGTTGGGGGAGTGGGTGGCTCTGAGCAGTGGTTCTGAGATGGAGGTGAGGACAGAGGTCCTGGTGCCTGTCCTGTCCAGTGCTCTCAGACCAGCAAGGTCACAGACTGAGTCTGAGGGAACCTGGGGTTCCCAGCAGCCGCACAACACATCGGTTCCCTTGACACACAGGTCCTGAGGGACTTCCACACACTCAGTCCTGGTCCTGGTCCAGGGACAGATGTGGCCAGGACAGGGTGCTTGCCCTCAGGGGCATTGGGGTTCCAACAGGGCAGCACGAGAGACTGGTGACTTTCTCACTGCGCACGCAGGGCTTTGCCAGAGGGCTATGCAGCATGAAGCCCTCCAGGAGACACAGGCTGGAGAGTGCATCAGGAGGCTGGGCCCACTATGGCGTGCAGCTCAGGAGCAGGAGTCCACCCGGCTGCTCACCAGTTCTGCGGTCCTACAGAGGCCCTGTAAGCCCACTCCATGCCTTGGTTTCCTCCTCTGTAAAATGGGGACACAATCTCCCTGCCCACTGTGTTTCCACCCTCCTCTGAGCGTGCCGTGCCCGGTGTGTGCTGTGTTTGCACAGTGCCCGGATGTTACAGGCAGGCAGCAAGTGGCAGGTTGCAAGCAGCAGCAGGGGCTGGTCCTGGGGGAGAGGGCGTCCCTGGCAGGGCCTGGTGCGGGAGGCTTAGTGTACACGGGCAGGCCACGCAGGGAAGGGGCGGTGCTGGTGGGACCAGGTGTGCGGGGTGGGTGGGGGGTCGGGGTGTTGGCGGGGAGAAGCGCAGGTGTGGCTGGGACGGGCTACTGAAGAGTCTCAAGCTCCTGTGAAAGTGCCGGGAATGATCCGGAGCTTTAAAGTGGGGAGTGAAAGGCTCTGGTTTGTTAGGTGGTGAGACGGACCCTTGGGAAGCCTGGAGGAGAACTGTAGGTGGGCTGTATGGGGGGTGGGCATCCTCCAGATCAGGGCCAGGGACGCGGCTGAAGGTGTTCCTCCCCGTGTGCCCCAGGGCTTGCACGCCCTGATGCCAGAGGCCCCCAGACCCGGCTGTGCACTGAAATTAGCCGGAGAAGCGCCCTGAGGCCAGGCTTCACCCAGGACCAAATCAATGAGACTCCAGAGAAGACCAGGCAGGCCATTTAGGCTCCACAGGTGAGCCTCCTGTGCAGCCAGGACCCGCCGACCTCCCTTCCTGCTTCCCGTCTTTGCCTCGGCCCGGCTGGCGGTGGCTGAGGTCCTACCTTCTGGATCAAGCTGGCAAACTGCAGGTTGGCGGACTGGGAGATGTTGAGCACCGTGCTGTAGGCGTTCTCGCCTCGGTTTTCCAGCGCGGCCTCCACTGCCACCCGGCGGCGTGTGCTCTCAATGATGAAAACCGTGGTGTCGAAGGACAGGGTGTATTTGGAGCAGTCCTGCACAGGCTTCCTCAGCACCTTCTGGCAGTACTCCCTGTGGGAAAGACACCAGGGGTCAGGCAGGTGGAGCAGGGAACCAAAGGGCGGAGCTGAGCTCAGGGTTGATGCAGGGGATGGGCCTGGGGCACTTGCTTGGCTTCTGCCTATTGGAATAGCCACTGGGAAAGGAAGGAAAGCGGATGGCAGGGCTGGAAAGAGCTCACTTTTCAAGACCACCTCCTGCTCCAAAGACCCCTGGATCCCCCCTGATGGGCTGCCTGCTCCTCTGAGCTCAGAGCCTCGTTTGACCTCACTCTCATGCAGCATCTCTAACTAGTCATGTTTCCCTTTTAGCCTTGGGTGCCAGGAAACTCAGAGATAGATGGAAAGATGATCTTGATTACAGCCTAGATGGTTAAAATATTTGCTTCTTCATCTTTCAGTAAAGTTTGAATGTGCTATTTCTATTTATTATGTCTAGCATATACATTTTCTATCTGAATTATCTCATAACTGGATAAAAGTTGAACAAATATTATTGCAAAACACATGTAAATTGTAGCCATGAAATTGTTCATGTTTTTCCTTGTATGCTAGTTTGCATTTCCCCAGGGGATTATGGGCACCCTGCTCAGTTTCTACTAGTCTCCTTAGCATCTTGCCATCAGCAGGATTGGAAAGTCCAGGCATAAATGGACCTGGGGTCGCCCAGTCTGGGGGCTGGAGAACAAGTACCCAGAAGTGAATCCCCTGATTCTATGCTCCATCTGTTTTGTAGTTTGGGCCCAAACTATAAAGTTTAAAGAGATTAGGGTAGACAGCAGCACTCATTTTAACAGAACAGGTGACTGAGGCCCACAGAGGGGGGACTTGACTGAGCTCACATAGGGGTTGGAAGCAGAGCCTGGTGAGAACCAGGCCCCAAGTTTAGTGTCTGGAAAGACAATCACGGCCTGTGACAAAGGTGTGCAGGGAACAGTCCAGGGCCCCTTGACCCCAGGGTCAGCAGCAGGGCCGGGGCAGGGTGTGTGTGTGGGGCAACTCACATGGCTGTGGGCAGGTCACTCCGAGCGTCCAGCACGAGGTCAGGGACACAGTGTTCGTCTTCGTTGCAGCCATTCCAGAAGGGCACCTGGGCCAGAAAAAGCCAGTTGTGGGGGCTGGAGAGGGACCCCCAGCGTCCAGCCCTCAAAGTCATGGCACAGCAGTGGTCTGTGCACTGGACATGGCTGGGTCTGCTGTGCCCTTTCCCCAGGCCCCACACTGCTGGCCTGGTCAGTAGTTACCAATCCTGTGGTTCGTGTAGGGAAAGGCATTTGGTACTGAGGACACAGGATGAGGAAGAAAGAGCTTCTGCCCTCAGCTCCTGGGGAAGACGGGTGCATGAACAACTATAGAGTAAATGTGCAGAAAACCAACCAAATACAACAAAATATGAGGAATAGAAACAGCAAAAGGGAGAATTAGTTACTTTGGCCTGTAGGTGTTCAGAGAAGGCTTCAGAAGTGACAATGGGTCAGAGTTCTAAATGATGACTGAGTTCACTGAAAGGACCAGGAGAGCAAGAAGTCAAGAGAGAGGATGAGTCTGTGCAAAGGTCCTGAGGCAGGAGTGCCTGGGAAATGACAGGTGGTTAGTTCGTGTTGCTATAATAAGAGACACTTGGATGGAGGAAAGGAAGAGATGAGCAGGGGGTAGTTATTACAGGGACTTGGGCCATGCCAAACTACTGACAGGAGTCACTGAGTGCTTCAGGTATTCGGGTTGAGGCAGGAGGGGTCCTGGCTGTTGTCAAGTTTTCCCAAGTGTCTGGGGGGCTGGTCATGCCCTTCATCTGTGTGTAGGGGTGGAGAGGAAGTCAGCCAGGGGGTGCTGAGCTGGAGTGCTGTGGCCTGTACTCAGCGAGAGGCTCAACGGGCAGTGGGAGATTCAAGCCTGGAGCTGTCGAGCAGTCCTGTCGCCACCAAGAGCCCGGCCCAAACCCCGTGAGGTCGCAGAGGCACACGAGTCTTAAGGCCAGGGACTTTTCTCAGAGGAGGGCCCTGTGGCTCTCCAGGTGGACACTGTCTATGGGGCTTCGCCACTGCATGGTGAACTTGCACTTGGAAGCAGACGCACTACAGCGACAGCTGGGGAGAGGGAAGTCACGGAACCCTGGGACGGGTTCCCAGGCTCGGCCGGCCCTCGGGGGCTTCGCGTATTCTAGCGCCTCGTTCATCCTGGTGGGCTCCAGTCTCCGATCACACTCCTGTGCCCCCCACCCCGCCTGCTGTCGGAGAAGTTGGAAAACTCTACGATGACCTTCAGGAGCAGCCCTAGCCAGTCATTAAAGGAACAACTTGACATGATAAGCAGCTGTCGCGCTCAACGGTACGGAACGGCCCATTTCCCCAGGAGGCCAGAGATGGCCGAGTGGACACAGCACCACGCACTTAATAGATGCCGAGTGAGACTTCGTGTGAGTGATGGGAAGCGTGTTTCTTGATTGCTGGGGGCTAGAAATCTAGATTAATAAGATTTTTGAGAAGCTTAGCAGCTCTTTAGAGGCCTCCGTAACATAACACGCCTGGACTCTCTTTATTGGCTTTTTTTTTTTCTTTTTGACCTTTTCTTTACATTTTCCTTCCCTCTGCTTTTCCCCATTCCCATTACAGTGTGCTCCAGGGAATAAAAGCCCACCCTCCCCAGAACTGCAGGTCTGAATTTTATCTATTCTTTAAAGTCCAGCCCAAAGCCACCTCCACCAGGAGGTCCCCCGGGCTGTCATCTGATTGCTCCATTGACTTCCTCAGAGCTCATGCTGCCTCCTGGCCTGGGATCCTCGCCACCACCGTGCATCTAGCTCATCACGGCCCAAGCAGGGCTCGGCCTGCAGACCAGTCGGCCTCGGGGGCTTCGGCACACGTGGAGGGGGAGTGACGTGCCCTCACTCATCACTCCTGGCTCACCGAGAGGAAGCAGCTCCGCCAGCTCAGGCGTGGGACCTTGTTGGGGAGGACTGCGGAGGGACTGGGAGGGTGATGGACGTGGTAAGAGAAGAGGGGACGGTAAGAAGCTGGCTGTTCCCCTACAGTCCCTTCGTGGTGTTGGAGAATTCCAAGTAAGAACTGAAATTGGTTGCCAGCTGGACTCAGCAGTGTTCAGAGTCAGGCTCAGTGACCGGAGCTCAAGGTCATGGCTTAGGTGTGCTCTAAGGGTGCTTTCTCAGTCCTCAGTGCTCAGGCATTAGGTATTGCATTTTACAGACCTTGCCTGCTCCCCCAGCCCAGTTCGGACACTGTCTGACAGTGTCTTTGAGTGGGGTCCACATGAGGTTGCAGACGTGGGATGCATCTGATTGTTGGACGTCACAGGACTAGGGATGCCCCAGAGCTGGGGATTAGCAAAAGTGGTTGAGGGTGAGGCTGGAGCCAATGTCGAGGCTGAACATTTCTTCTTGGAATACTTAGGGGCAGGCTTGGGAGAGTGTCTGTTCATCAGTCAGTTATTCAACCAGCAGAAGACCAGGCTTAGTGATTGAGCCACTCTGACCTCCACGTCCTCATCTGTAAACGTGGGAGGTGGGTGATGGAGGTCCCAGATCCTTTCTGGCCCTGGGACTCTGTTTCTCCGATACCTACTCAGTGGTCCCTGTGCCGGGGATACCGAGGAGCCTCCAGCAGGAGAAGGCCTGGTCCTGACTCTCTAGGGATTGTGCTGTCAGAGCTCCATGCGACCACGTAACGGGGCATGTTGTGGATCTGCTGGGACGGAGGCGGGAAGGCGTGGTGGGAGAGACTTACCGAGACTCTGAGTGTGGTGGGCCAGCCGTCGTCCAGCACGGGGCCGTGGTTGGGGTCCTCCAGGGAATACTCCACTGAGAAGGTCACTGGCTTCACGTAGTCAGCGGTGTCCTGAGGGGTGGAGGGGAGGGCAGGGGCGTGGACATTGGGGCAGGACCACTGCCAAAGAGCTTCCACCTCCTTGGAAGCTGCAGGAGGGCCCTCAGATAGGTCCCCAGGGGTGGGGGGCGGGGAGTCCTAGTGCCGTCTGCCAGGGAAAGGGCTGTCCCGTGGAGAGGCTCCTGGCTCAGCGCATGCCAACCTCCTGCCTGGGGTTCACTAAGCTCCTGCTCCTCCTTCAGGGCTGACTGGTCACCCGGATACCTGGGCCTGCAGGGAGCCCCACAGCGAGCCTCCTCCTCCTCCAATCCTGTTATTGCCTCTTCTCATATGACCTCCAAATCCCCTGACTATATGCTGGTCTCCCCTCCCAGTGAGGAATAGGTGGGAGCCTCTGTGTGCAGGCCCACCACCATGACAGGGTCAATGAAGGATGGACGAACCAACAGATGAACTAGACGGGCGGTTCAGACTGTAAGGGTAAAAGAAATTGAAGTTAAAGCGTAAAAGTTAAAGGGTAAAAGACCGGGTGTTGTAAAGTTTCTAAGCTGCAAGGTCTGAGTTAAAATGTAAAGGATTAGGTATTGTTAGGTTTCTATGCTACATGCAAAACCTGAAATTTCTGTAGCTGTTAAGACAATGCTTGGAACCGCCCAGTAAATATTTCCCCTGACTGCTTGGTTGTTTAATAACTGAAGGGCTCTGTGTGGTTGCACGTAGGCATCGCAGGGCCTAAACCAATCAGTTTGAATATGTACCCCGCTTTAAAACTGACCTATCACCCCTGTCTGACCTGTTCCCACCAATGAATGAACTAATCATGTTTAGGAGTTGTTGTTCAATTTTCCCGCGCCTCATGATGACTTGTTCTGATGTATACAAAGCCCTCCGCCCTCCCCAAAAAAGTGTACTTAAGCAGTGCTCAGCCCCTGCTCGGGGCTCTGGGCTGCTTTCCCTTCTCAAGTGGGCACGGAGCCCCAGCATGCTGGTTCAATAAATCCCCTTCTGCCAATTGCATGAGTGGTCACTTGGTGGTCTCTTTCTCCGATGCTTCGCCGACCCTTACAAGACTGGTCTCCAGTGCGTGGAAAATGAAGGCGGGATGATTCTTTGATTTGCCTGCGGTGCTGGGCCGCCTCTGGGACGGGACTTGAAATCACACATCCCAACAGGCTCCCGTGACACGGCCGTGGCAGGTGGGGCTACACCCCGAGGACTACAGGTCAGGGACCCTCCAACATATGCACGAGGACTTCTCACACCCCTTTGCTTTCTGGCCACAGGCTGTGAGCACCCAGGCCAGGTGGGTCCCGGCGCCCTTGCTTGCGTCTCTGAGGCTGGAGCTGTGGCCGGGGTGCTCGGTGATTCTGGATGGAGGCAGACTTCTCACCCTCTTCCCCATCCATAAAGGGGGCCCCAGGCCACCACCCTGCTTACGACCCTCTGGTTCCCTTTTCTGCCAGGCTGGCCCCCCTGCTCCTTCTTCCAGCTATCACTGTCTCCCCCACCTCCTGGTCTTTGTTTCCAGCGGTGCTGCTTATCCTCCCTTTGGCTGCTGGTGGCCTCAGCTCTCTCTCTCGACCTCTCTGAGCCCCCCTCCTTCCTGAGTTTCGTCCCCTGCTAAGGAAGCCATGGGTATCTGAGAGCTGGAAGCAGGGGTTTGGAAGGGGTAGTACCCCGCTGGGCTTCTCTCTGGGGCATGAGTTGGGGCGTGGGTGGCCAAGGTCCAGAGCACAACCCCTAGCTGGCCTCCTGTGGACCGCTGCAGGCTCAGAATGGGCCTGACACCCGCCAGGCTCTCACCCCTCCACGGCTGGCTCCCCCTCCAGCTCACCAGGACGTGGAAGTTGATGCGCTGACAGTGCTCCTGGCCCGAGGACAGCAGAACAGCCCTGTTGGTGAACTGGTCCCCACCCTCATCCAGGTGGGCCCGCGGCATATACCGCCTCTCATCCATGGTGGCGTTGTACCTGATGCCTGGAGGAGGGGACAGGGAGACCTGAAGGTGGAGCCGGATTCCCATGGAAGGCTGTTTGCCTCTCTCTAAGAATGGTCTCTGGGAAGTCTGCATCCTCCAGGAAGCCCCCCAGGCTGGCCACGGAAGAGCCTTTCCTCTTGCCTGACAGGTCCCCGGGGCAGGAAGCTTCATGCAGGGAGCAAGTGACACAGGAGATGAGGAAAGGGGGGGAATGGAGGAGAAGAGGGAGGAGAGGAGGAGAAATGAATGGGGCCATGCCAGAAGGAAAGGGGAGGAGAAAGGAGGGAGGAGGAGAGGAGGCAGGACGAGGCCCAGTGTCCCCTTGAGCCCCTGCTGGAGTCACACACTCTCCACGTCCTTCACCTTCCATCTCCCACTGCTCTGGGTCCCTAGACGTGCAGGTCAGAGCCTCTGCCGCTGGCCCTGGACACACTAGGAGGGTGCCCGGCCTCCCCACTCGTCCTCAAGTCTCCCTTCTGGGATTTAAGGCTGGCAGCCTCCTCCCCTTCACCTCGGAAAACCTTTTGCCAGTTCCAGGGAGGTCTCAGTCCCTTCTCCCATCCCCCAGCCAGGCTTTGGGTGTCCTGGGCCCTTGTATTTTCTCCTGTCATAGATGGAACTTGGAGGAGGCACAGCCGCCCAGGCCTGCCTTTGTTCTCAGGTCTTGGACACCCTGCTCCTCCCTGTCTGGTCCTGCTCCTTGACTGAGATGGTTCAGTTGTCCCTGTGGGGAGCCATTCTGACACGTGACTGGGTGGCTCCCGTTAAGGGTCTGAGGCGTTCTGGCTGTGTCGGAACTTTCCCGGCCCTTTCCTGATGAGAGAACCCGTCCGTGTGGGGGTGTGACTGACCACTGACCCCGGGGGCCCAATCACTGACCCTGACCTTGGAGTGCGGCCCCCCCTCAACCTTCATTGGATGGAATTATCCCCTGATTTTCTTGTTCCCCAATAAAAGGCTACTCCCTGGCGTGCTCGCTCTCTCTCTCTCCTGCTAGCCCTGAGTAATCCTTGCTGCCCTTCGGGTGGTTCGAGGTTGCAGCCAGAGAGGGGAGCCGTCTCGGACCTGGTCATAGAAAAAGGTAACTGAGTCTGTGTGTTTTATTTCGATCTCTGCTAGCTAACTTTTATGCCAAGAACCTCATTAATGAAACCAATGCGCAGGCCGCATGGTGGATGTCCCATTTCAGGTGCAGGCCCTGCCTGGTCCTAGAACCTGAAGCCACCACTCCTGAGCTGCTGTGAACAGGGGCCTGACTTGGACCTTCTGTGGAAGGATGGGCTGTAGAAGGAACTGTCCTGCCCAGACCCACACCCACTGCCCAATGGCACCCATGACTACTGTGGTCACGTGCCTGGCCCCAGGGTCCAGCTTCCCGCCGGCTGGCTCCTGGCTCTGCCTTTCCCTCTGCACCCAGGCTGACTTCTGGGTGTCCACCCTGTCTGCTCCCCTACCTCCAGTGCCATGTTCAAACTGGAGCCAGACTATTTCCTTCTTCGCCTGTCTTCTTCACTGGTCAGTTTTGCCCACTGTCACCCTAGCCCTGCCATGAGTCCCTTTGTCCCTAGGAATGAGAGCACTAGAGGGGCGTCCAGCAGAGGTGGCTCTAGGTGTGACCTGGAGCTTAGAAACAATTTCAGGAAAAGCCCAGGCTGTGGACAGAGCAATCGCAAAGTTCAGAGGGAGACTGGGGTGGGGTGGGGCCAGAGGGGCTGGATTACCAACAGTTGCTGTTTGGAAATAGGGCGCCAGGAAGACGGGCGTGAAGCAGAGGAAGGCGGCCAGGCAGGTGGCATCCCTGCCGTTGCGCTTGCAGTCCTTGTGGAAGATGTTGATCTTGGATGGCTCAAAGTGGAGGCTGGCGTTGATCTGAACCACGGGCCGGGACCTGGAGGAGAAGGGCCAGTGAGCCAGGGTGGGGCAGGCTCTTAGCTGTGACAAATGGGAAAAGTGGAGATTCAGATGGGAGCAGAACCTGCAAACCACCGTTGGAGGGCGCTGTGGGGTGAGGCAGAGCGGGGCTTCAGATGCCACAGGACTGGGCAGAAGCGTGCAGATGGACGGGGGCTCCGCAGCCTCACGGGGCCTACAGCAGCCCTGTGCCCTTCTCCCAGGCGTTGTGCTTGCTGTACACACTGACTTCCTTTTGCCCCCTCATTATCTGGGGTTCCCAACCCCATATGTACATTAGAATCATCTGGAAAGCTTTAAAAAACCTGGGCCAAATTGAATTAGAATCAGCCATTAACATGTTTTAAAGTGATGCATCTCAATTTTTAACCTGGTTGCACATCCCCAGAGCATCTTGTTAAAATGCAGATTCTGATGCAATAGTTTGGCATCGACTCTGTGCTTCCAACAAGCTGGAGGTGCTGTGGGTGGCTCAGGGACCCCACTTTGAAGAGCCAGAGGTGTAAAGATCTTTGGGTGATTCTGGGCGTGGCTAATGAAGAGAACTACCTGGCCTAGTCAGGTAGCCAAGGATACAAAAGTACTCTTGGACTGATCTACGTCAAACAGAATTAGGAAAAGAAGCCTACTGCCTCTGCAAACCACGACTTTATAAAGGACATAGGTGTGGCTTGGCTCAGCAGTTTCAGAGGTAAGGCTGGTTTCTTGCTGGATCTGGGACAGGTCCCATGATATCACTGATGAGGCCTGCAAGAGTCCTGGGGGTGAGCGAGGACACCCACTTGACAGCCTTCTGGAATCTTCTGGGGAGTTTAAAAAAAAATCACTGTCCTCTGGGTCCCTCTGGTGAAATTCTGCTTTAATTGGTCGGAGTTCAGCTAGGATAATGAGTTTTAAAAGCTTCCTGGGTGACCCTAATGGACAGTCACATTTGGGAACCGTGGGGTTTGACCATAAAGTCTTCCCAGAGGGCTCTGGCCTGCAATTCCATCACTACAGGCAGCATGCAGTCCAGACCCCAAAAGTCGGAGCTGGATCAAACCCCTTGGGTAAGACTTGAGTCCCTGGGGTGTGTGCAGGTGTGTATCTTGTTTCCTATACAGTTGATGTGCCACCTTAAGGACCTGCTGGCCATTCTATCCCCTACCCTGTGCCTGGACACCTGTCTTGCTTCCTGGCTGGTGAATACCTTCATCAGCCTTCCAAGTCCAGGCTGCTATTACCGTGCCACCACTGCCCCAACCTACAAGCCCCACGTGTGGGGAAGAACTCTGACTGGGCTGGGCTCTTGGAGACTGTGGCTTTCCTAGCACTGCCCAGAGGGCCACAGGACACCACTGAAAGGGTGTGGATACTTTGGTTATGGATGACAGATATGGGGGCCCAGCAGGTGTGCTGCTCCTGTGTCCCCTACAACGTGCTGTGTCAAGAAACAGGTGCTGGGCAGGAGCTGCACTCATGGCAAAGCCAAACACTCAGATCTGCTCTCCTTTCCTGCCATTTTTTTCTGAGGAGGAACCTGCTCCCAAAGCGTCTGCTCAGAAGCTTATGTCTTGAGCTATTTTCTATAAAACCTGGGTGGAGACATTTCCTCTCTGGGTGGCAATATTCTTGAGGATGGGATACATCCTCCCCATCTTTATTCTCCCTGTAAAGTCATAGGATATCTGTTTAATGCATTCTAAAAATTGTGTGAAAATTTTGAATTTATATAAAATTGTATGCAGGCAGAAAAAGATTGGGAGGAAAGATGCCAAAACACTCAAGGTGGTAGTGTGAAGCTGGAGGGAACACAGAGCAATCTTTTCCTTTATTTTACAATTTCTCTTTAAGTATTATGAATAAATGATAAACTGTAACTCATCAAGGTACATGAAAAAAGCCTAAGTTAATTTTTTTTGGGGGGGCATCTAAGAGAAGCCAACCTATGGTAAAATATAGGAGCTTCTAGAGAGCATTGAAATGGAGCCCTGAACAAAGTATAAGAGAAGCCACAGGGGTTTGGGGGGAAGAAGCCCGTGTATCACCTCTCCCACTCTAGAGGAGGAGGAGAGATCGTCCCAGCTGAGCTGAATGTGCTCAACGTGCTTCTCAAAGTAGCTTGAAAAGCTGAAGTGGAAGGAATTCTGGGAAGCAGAGCTTTCAGGACAAATTGTGTTTTTTTTTTGGACTGGGGATTGAACTCAGGGGCCCTCCACCACTGAGCCACATCCCCAGCCCTATTTTGTATTTTACTTAGAGGTAGGGTCTCCCTGAGTTGCTTAGCACCTTGCTAAATTGCTGAGGCTGTCTTTGAACTCGCCTCAGCCACCGGAGCTGCTGGGATTACATGCAGCTCAGGACGAATTCTAAGAGGGGTTTCACACACTACTTTGGTCTAAAGTCCCACAAATCTATTAAGAAGAGGGATTTGAACTTGAAGATAACGTTTACTGATTCCACAAAAGGGAAAGGTGTCATCCAGGTTTGTTTGACTGACAGTGGTTAAAGGGACAAAGACCCTGCAGCCTGTCCTTTAAACCCTCTATCTATCATGACCCCCAGGAGAGCCCAAGAGGCAGGAAAAGTGGGGGAACCAACCACAGAATCACAGCATTGCCCAGCGCGCCCACGGCCAGGTCCACCAGCCCGTCGTCGTTGAGGTCCAACTGCCCGTGGATGCTGCAGCCAAAGTACCGGAGGCCGGGAGCCAGCTCCGACGCCGCCACTCTCTGCAGGGAGAGGAAAGCGTGGGCTGGGTGGGAGCATTGTGAGCTCAGGCAGGGCCTGCAGGCACAACGGGGGGTCCTGGGGACAGATGTTGGACGCCATCGGGAGGCTTCCCCAGACCAAAGTTGTCTCCTTCTCAGTCTGTCACGGCATGCCACGCTTTTGGATTAAAATATTATGTCTTGAAAGCGTTCCCATTCGGTGTAAATAGATGCTGCTTGGCAGGTCACCCCTCAGCATTTCAGATCTTGGTGTATTTATTAGATGATCTTATTAACGAAATATGTGGGCCAAATGAGGACGAGGGGCCGAGACAGATTAGTTCTGAGGTGTGTGAAGGGCACCCAGCCGTGGAGCCAGGGGGAGTCCTCCACCTGAGGTCAACGGCACAGATGCCTGTGGGGGTGAGGTAGGTGCCTGGGTTTGTCGTGGTTGACCTTGGGAGGATAAAGCAGGCCAGGAGAGGGTGCCAGAAGTGGTGTCGGGATGGTACTGAAGACACAGTGCACTTGTGTCAAAACTAGAGGCAAGGGAGTCAGGACAGACAGGGTCCCCTCCTGCAGAAGAGCCAGAGGAAAACGCAGAACCACGTGACCACACAGAAGCAGCTACACTCCTGGGTCCTCCTGCTCCACCCACTCTCAGGGGACGCTCACCTGCTTGGGCTTCTTCAGGATGCCGCCTTGGAAGCCATGGAAGATGTAGATGGCACCTCCATGGTTGTCTTCTAGAGGGGCTCCCACCACCACGTCATTGTAGGAATCTTGATTGAGGTCGCGAACAGAGGCAATGGAGGACCCAAACCGGGCGTTCTGGTAACTGTGGGAATCCTTCAGTGTTCCATTATAAATAAACCGGTTCTACAAAGCCAAGGCCAGGAACGGGCTCAGGGGTCTTGGTAAGGGACCTTGGGGTCGTGATTCCCTCTGTCTGCTGCCACAGCGTCCTCTCTCCACTCCGTCCTCCCAGAATCCTCTCTCTGGTGACATGAGCCCCACGACAGAGGAGGCTCCTGCTTCCCCCATCCTGGGTCCTGCAGGCGGGAGCTGGCCTCCCTGGAACCCCGGTTCCCTGGTGGTGACCCAAGTCCAAGCAGGCGCCCTTGAGAAGCTGCCGCCCCACCCGCAGTACCTGTCTCAGGATGTAGACGTACACTTTGCCCCGCTCGCGGCCCTCGCTGAAGTACATGGGTGCCCCCACCAGTAGCACATCGGTCACTCCATCGTCATCGATGTCCACTGAGGTGATCTCACTCCCGAAGTAAGAGCCTATCTGCGGCACATAGAAGCAAACAGAAGTTACCCATGATCCCAATGTGCAAATATAACTTTTTTATTTTTTATTTTGAGACAGGTTCTTACCAAGTTGTTTACAACCTTGAGAAGTTGCTGAGGCTGGCTTTGAACTTGCCATCCTCCTGCCTCAGTCTCCCAAGTTGCTGGGATTACAGGTGTGTGCCCCTGCACCCGGCTACATACTAATTTTTTAAACATAAAAATGGATCACAAGCCTTTTCCTCATGGCACATTTGTTTAAAAATAATTTTTTTTCTATGCTGGAAGTAGAACCTGGGACTTCACACATGCCAGGCAAGTGCTCTGCCACTGAGCGATACCCCAAGCCTGTGACATATTTTTTTTTCCTTTTTCCAGTTTTGTACATGAGATGAAACAATATAAATTCAAAACTTACAGATAAGGGTTAGCTCTATCCCTCATCCCTTTAAACAGTTTATGTGAATATCCAGTCAAAACCAACAGGGTGTCTCCTTTGAAAGGTCATCTACACAGATTTCCAAGTAGACCACAGGACTGTACACTGTCTTGGAAAGTCCTCAGAGGGCTCTGTCATTGAACAGCTAACAGTTAAAAACCCCGGAGTCCTTTCTTTCAAATGGAAGAAGGAAAGACAGGGACAGAAGAAACTATTCAAATTCTGTCTTCCTTCCTTATGGCTGGTGGGCTCCTTCTCCCCCTCTGCCTCCTTGGAAAATCCTCCCCCTCTAAACCCTCCCTGGCCTCTGCTGCCGAATTCACCTTGGCCTCCTCTGCCACCACCTCAGCCTCCAAAGCCTCCTCTGCCTCCACCATGACCCCCAAAGCCCCCTTCCCCTTTAGGTGTGGCCCAGTCCAAGGTAACTTCGTTTCCACCGATTTCACCATCTTCTTGGCCTCTTTGGCAGCTTTGGCATCCTCCTTACTGTTGAAGTCCACAAAACCAAACCTTTGGAGGATCCGGTTTCCCGGTCAGCGACTATCCTTGCACGAACAGAGCCGTCAGATGATGCTTTTAAGGTTTCTTCAGTGGTATCCTCAGACAGACTTTTGACAAGCAGAGTTTTTGGTGGCTGGCTACTTGTGTTAGGCGATCCCTGGGTCCTTGCTACTCCAGAATGATTGCTCTGCCCCCAATTTCCCTTTTATTGCAGGAATTTAAAGCTTCTTTTACATTTTCAAATGAAGCAAACTCTAACAATGCATACCCTTTGGGTGTCCATTTTGGTTCTGTGGTTCTTTGATAAAAATTGTCTTCTCAAATACTTCCTCAAGAGTTTCTTCATTTGCATTGTAAGAGAGGTTGCTTAAAACCAGAGGTTTTGACTCACCACTCCAGGTGCTATTCTTTCTACCTCTCTAGTCTTGATTCTGACCTTTCTCTCCAGTGTAGTAGAGGGAACCACCTCCCCCATCCATCTCTGTTCCTTGCTTTTCTTCAAAGATTCTCTCTGCACCAGCTTCTGTCTGAAATTCAATATGAGCAACCCCTTACTCTTTCCATCCTTGCTGACTAATCTGATCTCCACGGCATCTTCACACACTTCTTTTAATTTCATCCTGAGTGACTTTGCAAAGGAGATTTTGGGCCCACAGTGTTCTTGCACCTCCATCTTTCTTACTGTCCTTTCCTTTTGGTTTCTCTAGTTTAATTTTGTTGTCAAAAAGTTTTAAACCAGTGAGTTCCAGGGCTTTTTCCAGATCTTTAGCAGATTCAAAATCCACACAGCCAAACTTCCTAGTCGTTCCGATTCTGAACACAGCAGCCAGATCATTTTTTTCGAAAAAGTTCACTGATATCAGTTTTTAGTTCAGGAGCAGATTTGTTAGAATTCAGATTTCCACCCAAGACATTAAAAGACGTAGCTGGTTCTGAGCCTCCCACTTTCTGTCTCTTGGCTTCAGGAGCAGCCTTCTGTTTGGCCGTTTCCTTCTTTCATTTTCTAGGTGCTTCTTTGACAGGCTCTTCCTCCTCCTCCCCCTCCTCCTCTTCATTCCCATTGTCTTCCTCCTGCTCGTCCTCCCCCTCAGCCACGCTCTTGGCTTTCACTGGTAGGGCTTTTGCAGCAGCTTTCTTTCCTTTGGCTGGTGTGACTTCCATGGCTTCTTCAGAGTCATCTTCCTCCTCCTCCTCCTCATTGTCCTCATCCTCTGAGGCAGGAGTAGCAGCTGCTTCTTTCATCACTGCTGGTTCAAATTCCTCCTCCTCCTCCTCATCATCATCTTCCTTCTTGGCCTTCTTCCCATTTCTTGCCCCTTGGCTGGGGTAATAGCTCCACTTTTTTTTTTGGGTACCAGGGACTGAACTCAGGGGTTGAACTCTCAACTCCTGAGCCACATCCCCAGCCCTATTTTGTGTTTTATTTAGAGACAGGGTCTCACTGAGTTGCTTAGAGCCTCACTTTTGCTGAGGCTGGCTGTGAACTCTCCATCCTCCTGCCTCAGCCTCCCGAGCTGCTGGGATTACAGGCGTGTGCCATCCTGCCTGGCACCAGCTCCCTTCTTACCAGGGTCTGCTGTACCAGTGCTTTGCCCGGAGTGGCTCCCTCTTGCCAGGTGTGCAGCTGCTGGCTGGCGTAACTGTCTCCTTGGCTGCGGTGGCTGCTGCCTTCTTGCCTGGGGTGACAGCTGCTATCTTGGCAGGTGTGGCAATCGCAATCCTTCCTGTTGGGGGAAGCACCATCTCCTTTGCTGGGGTTGTGGTGGCCTCCTTGCCTTTTTTCCTGAGGGGTGACACCCTCTTCTCCACTGCTGTCACCGTCTTCATCTTCTGACTTTTCCTCATCTTCACTACCTTCTTCTACCTCCTTATGGGGGAGGAGCCACTTTCTTGGGGTTGCCTTGATTTTTACGGGCCTTTGTGAGCTTCCCCACAATGGGGGGTTATGACAGGTGAGTGTGTGGCGGGTGAAGGTGCAGAGGAACCTAGAGGAGCTGAAGTGACATGGACAGTGGCCCTTGGGTACTGAAAATGCTGAGCATGTACCTGGCTGCCAGCTATAGCTAGAGACTGAGGGGAAAGCAACATATTTTTTCTATGACATGATCACTGGTGATTCTGTAGCACCCTGATGTATTTAATCAAGGCCCTGTCGCTGGACATTAGCTTGTTTTCAAGTTTCAATGTCCTGGGTCACTCTGGAGCTCGCATCTTGGATGGGGAGTGCTGAATTCTCCTCGGCATCTGAGTCCCCACCGTGCTCCTCTCCTGCCCTGGCTTCAGTGCTCTCCAACTGGGTTGGGGAAGTGCCACCTACTCCCTCATCAGAAGCCTCGGGGTCCCTGCCTCCACCCTCCACCTCTCCCATCTTCAGCTCTACCAGGAAGTTCCACCTGCTTCCCACTGCTCTTCCCCTGGGAGTGGTTCCTTCCAATGGACCTTCCAGTCTTCGTGCTGGCCCTCCGTTCCACCCCCATGCCACCAGAATGGCCTTTAGCAGTTAACCAAGCTACATGCTTGCATTTGGGCTCCTTCTATACCCAGTTATTGCTTCTCTTAATGACCCAGGCCCTGGTTAGTTCTGGGCTTCCCTCTTCCCTTACCTAAACCTCTCTGTCCCCTGACTTCCCCAGATAACACCTGCCACCCCTCGGATCTAAAAGCTATTCCTTTTAGAAGCTGTCCCTGGCCCTCCCTCCTTGCAGTGGGAGCCTCTTTTCCATGTGCCCCAGACTCCACACTCCTCCTACCAGCCTGCTCCCTCCAAGGATGTGCCTCTCTGGGCCTAGTCCATGCCTGGAACACAAGAGGGACCTAATAACTGCTTATTGGGTTTCCTTAGGGAAGGGAAGGCACCCTGCCCACAGGTAGGTCCTGTGTGATCGATTTATAGCCTTGGGTTAGCTTGTGTGAGCTGCTTGGGAGACATAGTCATCTTATTTCATTTTATTTTATTTTTTTGGGGGAGGTACTAGGGATTGAACTCAGGGCATTCAACCACTGAGCCACATCCCCAGCCCTATTTTGTATTTTATTTAGAGACTGGGTCTCACTGAGTTGCTTAGCGCCTCGCTGTTGCTGAGGCTGGCTTTGAACTTGTGATTCTCCTGCCTCAGCCTCCAGAGCCACTGGGATTACAGGCATGTGTCACCCTGCCCGGCTCATTTTATTTATTTATAGTTTTGGGCAGTGCTGGGGATCAAACTCAGGGCCTCACAAACGTTAGGCAAGTGCTCTACCACCCAACCACATCCCCAGCTAAAAGTCGTCTCATCTTACAGGGAAGGAATCTAAACTCAGAGTGTTCCAGTTGCTTGCCCAAGGTCAGAAGGCTGGTCCCTGCTAAGCTGGGGCTGTGTGACACATGAGCCCCTGGCTCCTTCCCCTGCCATATCCTGGTGCAGGGTGTTTCAGAAGAAATCTATTCTCAAGCATTAAAAGCTTTTAACTGAGGAGAAAGATAAAAATACAGGCAAGAGAAAAAGGAAATAATAAGCCTGAGTTGGGGAGCAGGAGAGATGTGTCTACTTAAAGCAATTAAGAGGCAGACAGAGCAAGGGAGGAGGGAGGAGGAGTGTGTCTAAATCTGTGGCCTTAGCTATGTGGGTCACAATGATTTGGAATCCACTTAATTCAGCTGCTTTCGGCACTGCGGTTTCTTATTCGGATGTTGGAGGAGGAACTGGGTAGGAGTATGTCATAATTCATCAGAGAACTCCCTCCAGCTCTCAAGGTCTAGCCCTTGACTTCCAAAAGAGCCTGCCCTGGGCCGAACGAGGTGGGCAGGGGGGGCAGAGGTGGCGACCTGAAGGAGTGGCAGAATGGTGGGCAGCGCTCTACGGCCAGAAGGATTTGGGTTCCACCCAGTGAGGAGCGTGTCCTCATGGTGATGGGACAGGGGCAGCAGAAGAGGCAGGACAGGGCTGTTCCCAGGCTCAGGAGTGCTGAGGGATTGCCCAGAACAATAGATAAGAGCCTGGACAGGGCTCAGCTTGAGCCAGGGTGCCTGGACACTGCCAGACGGGAGCAGTGAGGCCTGCTTTTGGGGGTCAGGAGGTGCCAGAGGTCCCCTCCAGAAGCCTGGATTCTTAACTTGACCCCTCTGGGAATCTGCCATGTGATCTTGACAAAGCCGTGTTGCCTCCTAGGACAGATTTCCTCGGCTGTTGAAGTGACTCTGGTTCTATGCACTCCCAGCCACTCTTACCATAGCCTTCCTGTTTGCCCTCAGGAGCCTCCAACATGAGACTTTGCAACACAGTCTGGGGCAGTGGCATTGACCTTCCACTCTGCATTGTCACTATTCCAGGAAAAGGGGAGAAGCTTGCATCTTGGGGGCCCCTAGGGCTTTGCTGGGGGTGGACTTACAACTTTTGGCAACATGAAGGTGGCTTGAGGAGTGTGACTGTCTCTTCCTGGGGGCCTTGACAACTCCGGCTGGGAAGCCATCACCCAGATGCACCAGACAAGAGGTCAGTGACACGGCAGGGAGAATTCTCTTGGATTTTCCAAGCTAGTAGCAGGGCCTAGGCCTGGCTTGGTGAGAGGTTGGTCTGCTCCAAGGACGTTTTAGGGCAGTAAGTGACGGCTTAGGTTGACACTTTAACCCTGATGGATGAGGTATGTGCCCATTCCAAGAAGATGCCTGTGGGTCTGGGGGCCTTCTTGTTGCCAGGGATGAGGTGAGCCCCAGAAGCCCCTCCACCCCCGATCTGATGTGCTTGCCCTGTCTTCCGGCAGACAGCCCCTGCTGCAGCCTCCCCCTCTATTACCTGCTCGCCCCGGAGGGCCTGGTGGATGGTGAGGCTCCTGTTGTTGTGCATGGTGAACAGGATGACTTTGCCCGTGTGGTTGAACCGCGGAGCTCCGGCCACATACACTCGCCCCTGCCTGGAGGACACGACCGACGTCACTGTGTACCCTGCCACAGGAGGAAACAGGCTGGTCTGTGCGCCTTGTCTTTGGCAGGCCTTGCTAGGACCCTGTTTAGCAGTGCCCCAGGAGGCACAGCGCCCCCTGCGGCTCTCGGGCACATCAAACAATGGAAGAGGTGCTAGTTTCAGCTGGTCTTGCCTCTGGTCTGGGGAGGCCGACCCAGCGCGCTGCACCAGGAAGCTTTAATGCCACCGCCCTCTGACCTAGAGTCCAAAAGCACCAACTGATACACACTCAAGGTGCGGAAGCTGCTTGTCATTTGTTCCACCTCCCCGTGGACAGCGGTTTAGGTGCAGCACTGTGCTGGGCTTGGCGGATGGAGAAGAGCCGGTCCCTGGGCCGGGTGTTCGGGCCTGGAACTGCAGCTCAGTGTGGCTGCGTGACCCAGCACCGGGAGGCCCCTGGCCTGGGCGTGCGGGGGACCGTGCAGCCGCGTGCCCTCCCGCGTCCCCTGCAGGGCGCTTACCCAGGTACGCGCCGTGGTTCTTGAGCTCGTCGGGGAACTCCTTCAGGTAAGACTCGCGGAGCGGAATGACCTTGCCGCTGCTGGTCTCCTTCAGCACGGCCCCGTTCCAGTCATAGGCGCCAACGGCTCCCAGCAGAATCCCGTCCTGGCATCGGGGAGGGTACACACGTCAGATCCTGTTCCCTGGGGATCTCTTGCTGAAAGCCCCCAGGTCCTGTGACCAGCGCAGCCTCCTGCAGCCTCCTAGGGCACCTTGTTGAGGGTTCATATGTAGCAATCTAACATTGAGCTGGACTCTCAGCTTTTGAAAAAGCCATGGAGACTGTCCTGCCCTAACCCATCCTTAGAACAAAGTGGGTCAAGCTGATCCCAAGGAATGTCAAGAAAAGGGAGTGTTCTAGAAATAAACTCCAATTTCTCGACAGACTTCCATCCTTCCTCGGGCTTCAAAACCCCTCTAGGAAATCTCTGGTCAACATCCCTTCCCTGTGACCTCCTTGGAGCCGTGTCTCCCCCACATGATCTTCTTCGGTGTTCCTTTGCAGTGTGCAAGTGCTTTCCTGTGAACTCTCCTGCCCAGTCACCACACTGTATGCATGACCTGATATGAGACTTTGCACCCATGAATATGAACAGTTACTCTATGACCAATTAAAAGCGAAAAATTGTTTTAAAAAATCCTACTTTCTCTTCATTTCTTCAATAAAAGTTCACTGAGCATGTACTTTATGCTGACCACTTGGTTGGTGCTGGGAACACCATCCCTGACCTTGCAGAGGCCAGAGATAATAAAGAAATACTCAAACATGTAGTTGCAAACTGTGACCAGTACAATCAGGGAAAATCACAGTGAAGTTTAATTTAGATTGATGGGGGTTGGGAAGCCTTTTAGAGAAAGGAATGTATACCCAAACACTAAAAGAGGAGAAGGGTCAGAAAAGAGGGTACAGGAACTTGAGGGAAAGGGCCAGGAGAAGCTTGTGCAAAGGCCCTGAGGCTGGAGAGAGGTCAGAACCTTTGCTTTCAAGGAACTGAAAGCTGTTTGAGTGAGGGGCAGAAGCATTGAGTGAGGGGGCAGAGGATGAGGCTGGACAGATAAGCCAGGGCCACACCATGATTTGAAGACTGAAGCTTATTTCTCAGGGCTTGGAGGGTCTTAGTCTGCCCACCCAGTGCAGGACAATTGAAATCTGCAAGGCCTGGTCAGGATTTAGCTCCTGGAGGGAAGTTTCCATGTTTCTGACTCCAGGGTTATTTCTTGAGTACTGAGTCCACTCACTCTCTGGGCTGCCCCTGTACCCTACCTGCTCCCTAGCATAAACGATCCACAAGACTCATGGACTTGAAAAGAGGGTGAAAGTTACCAGGCACTTGAGCAGACCCAGGAGGGTGGCAAAGCAGTTGGAGGGCCACTTTCCTGGGTTTCCTTGGTGACTCAGGGGTGGGAGCAGCTTGCCTGTATCCCAGCTTTGGGCTTTTAAAGCACAGCACTAATGTACCTTTCTGTCCCACTGAGCCCTCTTGGAAGCCTGCAGGTTGGCTGGGCTCAAGGCTCCCCCTTAGCTTTAAAGAGAAAAATTGGTCTTATCAAAGTGTTAAAAAATGCCAGCTCCTAGAGGTGGAACTGACTGTGCAGACAGAATGTTTTTACAACTATATATAAGCTGGTCTCGGGTGAGTTGGGTGCTTGGTGGTGTTCGACTTTCTAATTAGCCTTCTTCTTCCCACTCTGCTCAAGCCTCGGCCTGGGAGGCTGTGACAGTCTGCTGGGACCAGGACGGGGCTGGGGACTCAGATACTCCCTGTCCACAGTCACTGCCAACATTCTTCACGTTGGGGTGTGCTCCCTTCTTTGTGAAAGGGCTTTCTCATCCAACCACCAATTTGAGCCCACAGAGACTCTGGGAGGGGACAGACTGTTCATTATCTGCACTTGACAAACCAGAGGCTGAGGTTCAAAGTGGGGGAGGAACTTGCCCAAGGTCATATGGCAAGTCAGAAAGGTAGGGCTGGGGCCAGACACGTGGCTTGGGCTGAGGAGAAAAACAGCCACATGTTCCCCCAAGCCCTGGGGGAGTCCTGCTTCCAGTTATCCTCCCGACCCCCCCATCTGGAGCACTGTTGGGGCTCTGCCTTCCATCCTTCTTCCCCCCTCTCTCTGCCACTGCTCAAGATCTTAACTGCAGACCAGGCTTCTTGGTTGTATGGGAAGGGCTTTAAAAGATGTTTTTTTTTTTTTTTGATATTGGGGATTGAATCCGGGGGCACTTGACCACTGAGCCACATCTCAGCCCTATTTTGCATTTTATTTAGAGACAGGGTCTCACTGAGTTGCTTAGGGCCTCGCTGAAATTGCTGAGGCTGGCTTTGAACTCACAATCCTCCTGCCTCGGCTTCCCAAGCATCTGGGATTATAGATGTGCACCACTGCCTGACATGCAGATGAATTTTTGATTTTGCAGATGGCAAGGAGCCCCTGAGATGTACTGACAGGGCCATTTTGACGCAATGCAGAGTGGAGTCTGGGAATTCCACCAGTGCTTCTGGATTTGGTGGCCCGGGCCAGCGGGTCACTCTCAGCCTCTTGCCTTGTGTCCTTGTAACCCTGGCGGTAGCTGGGTCTTGAAGTCTCAGTGGGAAGCCCTTTTCTGAGGGTGGGTTTATTGGGGACAGGGGAAGGCCCACTGAGGACAGGGGCACTCTGTGGGGTAGGCGTGTGAAGGCAAAGCTCAGCTCCTGTCCTAGTGCGGGAAGCCCAGACATTTTGAGACTGGGCAGGTAGTGCACAAGGAAGAAGAAGAAGGAGAAGAAGAAGAAGAAGAAGAAGAAGAAGAAGAAGAAGAAGAAGAAGAAGAAGAAGAAGAAGAAGAAGAAGAAGAAGGAGGAGGAGAAGATTAAAAGGGCCAGAGCCTTGGTGGGGGAAGCCAGTCATGTGCCCTCACCAGGCACAGAGCATTCTAGGGACGGGCAACCTCCCATCCTCTGCAGGCCTAGCATGGATTCTCTGATTTATGGCCTCCCAGTCTTCCCAGATTTATGGGGTGGCCTGAGCTCCCATGAGACAACACCAGGTGTCTCTAGGTGGCCTTAGCTGGATGGATCCTTCCCATAGCTGGTGCTCTGTGGGGCAGGTTGCAGACTGGACGGCTGTCGGAAGACCTGAGGTCTCAAGGCCATTGTAGCCGGACCTACTGGGGCATCTGTGACATTCCTGTCACATCCTGCCAGTCAGCTCTTAGCTCCTCTACCTGGCCTCTGCCTCAGTCTTGCCTTCCAGTCAAGGTGGGTGCTCCCTGGGTGTGTGACCATGTCTCCCCAAACTCTGTGTTTCACCCAGTCCAGGTTCCCAGCCAGGGTTGGACTACAACCCCAGCACTGGAGCCAGCATGGTCTAGGGCAGGTGACATTGCCTCCCCAGGTGACATTTGGCCATGTCTGGAGATGTTTCTGGTTATCACAGCTTGAGGTGGGGGTGTCTGCTCATTATCCAACACAGAATGTCTCGTGGGTCGAGATTGAGACTCCCTGGCCTAGTGGTTAGAGCATGAACTCTGGGGTCAGACCTTCCTGCGTCCCCTCTTCAGCTGCAAAGCTTCTAGCTGTGTGACCTTGGGCAAGTCTGCCTCTGTCTCCCTCAGCACAGTGCTTGGCAGCCATAAGTACTGGGACCTGGAAGCTCTTCTCATTCATTAATGGTGCACACTGCATCTCCTGGGGAGGCAGACGCCAGAAAAGAATCTGATCTCATAGTCAAGTTGGCCACTGTGGGGTGGGTGAGCAGTGCCCCAGGGAGGCAAGGATGGGCTATTTTAGGGATCCCAGGAGAGGGTGACCAACTAAGGGAGGGGGTGGGCCCAGAGAGGAGTTAGGAAAGGATTTTAAGAAAACCCCAACCCATTTGTCTGTAAATCTCAACATCTATTCGAAGCCTGAAGATTCATTTCCAGGGATACTCCTCAGACATCTCGAAGCCTGAAGTTCAGACAGGTGAAGTGCTGTCTGAGCCCACATAGCCAGGCAGTGATGGCGTCCAGATGCGGATGCCAGCGGCTCTTCCTTCCAGCTTTTCTTGGCTTTGGGGAGGCTGTGGAGCCAGGCGGAGGTAGCTGCTGGAGGTCTGCGTGGAGGCCAGGTGGGAGACCCCCAGAGGGCACTGGGTCTTCCTCCCCGACACCAAGATCAGGGGACAGTCCTAATCGCTTACCCAAACTGGCAGGGGGAGTCCACTTTGTAGGGCCATGGAGGGTCTCCAACCTCCAGATGTCAGTTTACCATTATGGATCATTACTTATATGCGGTGCTGAGAATTGAACCCAGGGCCTCACGTATGCTCGGCAAGTGCTCTACCACTGAGCCACAACCCCAGCCCCAGCTTCTCTCATTTTTGATTGAATTAAACTGTAAAGCTAGTTCAAATGCAAACTCTAAATCTAAGATTACACTGTTTAAGGCTTCAACCACTAAGAGCCTTTGGTAACAGCAGTGACCTTGGCTGTCCAGCCCACAGCCCCAGAAGGCCCATAGGAAGGGCACAGGCTGCAGGATGGAGGCAGGGGTCCCTTTTACAAGATTTCTAGAAGAATGGTGCAGCTTTTGCCAAGGAGGTCACCACCCAGAGGCAGCCAGCACGCAAGAACCACTCCAGCTCTTAGTGGCCTTTGCAGTCATTTCCCAATGTGAATGAACCACTGGCTTAAAAATCTATTCATCCATAGCTAGACTTCCTGAGGGTGATTTTTTGGAATATTCTTTCCCTTTTTATAATTCAAGACTAGAGTTTCTGGCTCCCAGGTTCCTGTGGCTCCGGCTTTCTGCCATCAGTCTGGGATGTAATGTCGTATGGTCTGGGACCATGGACCTCGTGAGTGTCTGGCCAATATCTGGAGGTCTCCTCTCTACCCTGGGCTCTGGCTCTGCTCTCTGTTGTTGCGTTAGCTTTGCAGGCTGGTTTCCTTCTGGATAAGACAGCAGACAGCAAGCCAGGCAATGAAGAGCTATGCCTTTCTTCTGCCCACTGAGGATGGATACTGGGTCCCTCCCACAGGGCTGGGCCCTTCCTTTCCTTCTAACTGAACTAAACAGATTCAGAGAAGCTCAGGCACCTCAGTACGTTTTCAGGCAGCAGCCTGTGGCCCACTTCTGGAGAGAGGGAGTTTAGGGCTGGTTCAGAACATGGACCCACTCAGGGTCAAGACTGGACCTGTTGTTCCAAGTTCCCAAAGCAGCTAACTGACTGAGAGCTGAGTTGCTGGGCTCCCGGGGATAGGATGGTCACAGCCATTCATGACAGCATCAGTGGCTTGGCATTCACAGACCTCTGTGCTCTGACAGAACAACTTAATGTCCAGTTACAGTGGACTCATCACCAACATGTCATTCCCTTGGGATTTGGAGGTTTTCTTACTCCGCCTTCAGTCAGAAAATTCTCAGATCCAAATATAAACATTCTCTTTAAAAGTCTTAGCAGAGAAAACCTTCTAGATGATTGGGACATAGGAACATGACCCAGGTATTAGAGATGGTAAAAGAACTGGGATGTGTGGGGAGAGGCAACCGAGTCCCTCTGATTGGGGGAATAGGGAAACTGGGCAGCGTATCTAGAAGCTGCACAGGGCAGTCAGGGCAGTCATGACCTTGGCCAACCTGAGTAACAAGCTGGGGCTCTAAGCTCCTGAGTCTCCCTGCCTGCCCCACCTCCTCCAAATAGTTGGGGAACCCACTGGTTCTGCAAGCGTTGGACACACTGAGCTGCTGGGGCCATTTTCCAGGGCTCAGAGTAACTCCCTGAATCCCTAAGCCCAGCTGAGCCTCCCTGGCCCCTGAGACCTGGACAGTGACCTGCCTGAGAATGAACCTTAAGTGAAACTTAAGTCTTTGTCCCCAAATGAAGTTGTACCCTAGTCTCTATCCCCAGTGCCCCCTGCCCCACCCCACAGGAAGATGCTCAGGAAATGGCCATAGAGGGATACGGGAGACACTGGGTCTTTGATTCCCTAGCCTGTGCCCAGGTTCCTCCCAGTCCTGTGCACACAATCCTCTGCTCCCCTGCCCCACCCATGGCTGCTAAGATCCTTGTCCTTTCAGAGGCCAATTCAAGTGCTGACCCCTTGCTGATCCTTCCCTGGCCATGCCAGCCCCAGCCCCAGCCCAGGCCTTTCTTTCTGTAAGAGCCTGACCATTGCCCTGGTTGGCATTAGCTGTCACGTCTGGCTGCCTCATTGAGTAGGGGTCTTTACAGAGGCCCAGAAGACCTGGAGTTATACACTTTTACCAAGGAGATATCTGCAGTTTCTTTCATCCTGTTCTCAAAATTGAGGACTGCTGTTTTGGACTGTTTGAAGTTAACTTTTGGTGGCAAGAATCACTTCCAATTTTTTTCTTCTTTAATTGTTTTTGACAAATGCTGGTTGCATTGAATTGAATTGCATTTCCTTGATGTATTTTCTAATCAGCCTTGACCCCAGACTCAGGAGCCCAGGACTCGTGCTGCCAGAGCATGAGACTCGCTGCCTGACCTTGCGCCCATGGATGCTCTTGCCTCACTGTGCCCAGCAATTTACCCTCAGATTGCAAGCTGAAGGGCAGGGCTCCACCTCTGCCTCTGCCGTATCCAGCATAGGGCCCAGAGCAAGAAGGCACTGAGAAGATTGGTGGATCTGACCACTTTAAACAGGAGAACTGTTAATGCCTGCAGCCCCGTAGGGATCTTCTGAGCATGAAATGAGGTGCAGGACTTCCCTGGAAAAGTTTACAGAGCTGTCACCTGTAACAGGGCTGTTATTATGAGGTGCATATGTTATTATGCACCTTGCTGTATTCAGGGCAGTGGGAATGATGCAGCTCAGGACAATCCAGGTTCAAGTTGTGTTTCCGCTCATCTGCCTGCTGTGCGTTGTATGTGCCCCCTCCCCTCCAATCTGGGATTTCTGACTCAGACTCTTGAGATTCCTGTTTGCTCATGGAGCAGCTGCTGGGTATAGATGGTGCCATCTGACTAATTCTCACTGATTTTTTTTTTTTACTTCCGAGGGTCACTTAACCTCTCCAAGACTCAATGTCTTTATCTGTAAACTTGGCTCTAGGAACCTGCCCCATCTACCCCATAGAAGAGTTAAGCAAATTTGATGGATGATGAGTGCACAACTACAGGGACTAGCAGGCTTTTCTGGCAAACTGGGAGGCAGTGCCTGTCCAACAGCACACGAGTGCACAACTCCACCTGGGACATGCCTGTTCGAAGCATGCCCATGGAGCAACACACGGGGTGTCTGTTTCCCCATGTGCTGCTCCTAAGCAGGACTTTACAGTTTATGAAGCATCTCAGAGATATGAACACTCTGTCTCTCTGGCAATTCAGGGTGGTTTCAGCCCCATCTTATGAACCAGAACCAGGTGAAGCCCACAGAGGGTGAGTGGGGGCCCGAGACAGCCCCAGGCACCACATGCTGCTTGTGGCATCTTGTGCCCCCCTCTTTGGGGGCCAGGTCCACCTGGGAGCTCTGCAATCCCATGCAGAGTCTGCATGGAGTGGGGCCCATATGCAGTTGGCTATGTCACCTGGCCTAGATTTTGCATAGGGCTCTGTGGATTGAATGGGGTCATTTGTTGCAGGAAGCGATGTCTCCATCAGCGCCCTCTGCAGAACCTTCTGGGTGGGCGAGTAGACTATTAGTAGTAGTCCACTTGCTTCTGAAGAGGGCTTGAGACAGCAGAGGTAGGTTGAAGACCTTGACTTCCCTCTTCCACCCACAGAAGACTCTGGGAGGCAGAGAGAACCCAGGAAAGAGAAGCTGAGCAGCTCATGAAAGGTGGGAAGACACACCTCGAGAGCTGGGAAGGATGTGGAGAGATGGAGGGAGCCAGTGGTAACCCATACCTCCACCACATGCGAGGAGAAGCCCGTCTGTGACATCTCCAGCCCAAAGGAGGTCTCGTTCTTGTTGGTGCCTAAAACAGAGGACAGAAGGTTGTCAGTGCCATGACTCTTTGCTTAGCCCCAGATGGCACTCGGTTCACAGTTCCTACCTCCCAGGGGGCACCTTAGGAACTGGGGGTTCACTTTTGAGAAAAGCTCGAGGCTGAGACTTACAGAGCCGTCTGCATCACCAGCCCTCATCAATACCCTGTGCCCTGAGGTGCGCTGAGCACCTTCCAGATGGCCATTACTTCTGCAAAGGACTGGGGACAAGTATTGCATCCACATACTGTAAATGACTGTGAAAACGGGGGGGGGAGATAACTAAATAGTTTGTGGAAACAGTGGACATGGTTGGCAAGAAATGGAATTTCTCGCTTTGTTTGTTCCTATTATTCACTGGATTTGTTTCTGGATGCCCTGGGATAGTTCCTACACCTCATCTCCACCCCCAGGAGGGAGACATGTCACCACTGCAGAGGTACACAAGAAAGCCCAGGGTGCTCAGGACCCCACTCCACAGCGGGTTTCCTGAACACATCATTGGAACTCCGTGCTTGTCACTCAAGGTAACTGCTTTGAGGAGAAAAACACTGATTTGGATATTTCAATTCTGCTGTGGGTGTGAAAGCCCATGTCTGGGGGCTGGGGTTGTGGCTCAGTGGTAGAGCGCTCGCCTAGCATGTGCAAGGCCCTGGGTTCGATCCTCAGCACCACATAAAATAAGGAAAATAAAAGTGTTGTGTCCAACTACAACTAAAAAATAAATATTAAAAAAAAGCCCATGTCTGTGCTTTTATCCATCCATCTTTGTTCTGGGGCCATTTTGTTCTCTTTGGGCAGCTCTTCATTTCCAATGCACTGCAGATGTCTCAGGCTCTGAAACGCTGTCTTCTATTTCTTTTTATGACCCTCCCCCATGCCCAAGGCCCAGTGTTGGAAGGACCCAGTAGAGCATTTACTGTGCAAACGGGATCTGTGCAAATAAAAGATGCAGTTTAAGTCACTGGGAGGGGGCGATCTGAAGAAACCCTGCAAAGACTGCTTTTGATGGAGCAAGACACAGTGGCACAGAGGGACTGAGTGTTCTAGGCTGAGGAGTCAGGCTCAGCAGGGTCCCAACTAGGGGTGCCAGAGAAAATATAGGGTGCCCAGATAAATTTGAACTTCAGATAAACAATGCATAATATTTTAGTGTAAGTCTGTCACAAGTTTTGCATTTCATATTGCTGAACCTGGCAACACTAGTCTACATATCACCACTGTCCCCAGTGTGGGAACTTTGGCATGTCACTTAACTGCTCTGAGTTTCAGTCTCTTCAGCCATCAAGTATGGAGAATACCAGAGAAGCCACCTTTCAGGTTGTTCATAAAGCATATCGCTTTGCATCCAGAACAAATGACACTCGATTGGTCCTTTTTTTCCACTAAGCAGGGACACTTGCCACGCCATTCGTTTTGTGCAGTTGAATTTCCCTCTGGGGAGTTTGTCTGATTTAAACCCAGGTGTGTGTAGCCCCTCTGGGTAGGCAGGGCTCACCTTCCAGGCTGAAGATCCTGTCCCCCAGGGCGTCAACAATGTCCTTCAGGGCTGCCTCGTCAGTGACGTTGAAGAAGTGCTTGTCATCTGGGTCGCTGGCGATGTATTTGATTTCATTTAGAAAAGTTTCTGGATTGATCCCCCTGCGGTTGTAGTAGCCCAGGACCTGCCAGGGAACAGGGGCAGGGACGACAAACCAGGACATAGCACAGACTCTCCCACACGCCTCAGGGCCCCTGACCCCAGGGCTCCAGGGTGGGCTGAGCCAGGACTTTTGGTAGCCCTGAGTTTTCCTCCAGGGACCATTTGCGTTTTGGGACTGATCCTCTTTTAGAGGCAAGATAAGGACCTGTGCTCAGCTAGGATTCTGGGAGCTGAAAGGCTTGAGCTATTTCCTAGTTTTTGAGGTTTCTGAAGCTTCCTGGCAAAGGAAGGAAAAACCAAGCCCATGACTTTTGTGGACAGGCCTGAGCAGTGCTAAAGAAGCTTCCGGGCTTGCTCTTTTGAAAGCCTGGACATGACAGGCTGCTTCTCAGAAAATAGCCCCTGGGAGTTCCTCTGAGAGGCAGCCAGCAGCCCTGGGCAGGGACGGGACTTACGGCCACGGCGTATCTGGTCACGTTGTCCCTCTCACTTTGCTGGATGACCTTCTCCAGGTCCGGGCTGTCATGGGACTCCCCATCTGTGATGACGATCATCACCTTCTTGGCCCCTTTCCTTCCGCCCTTCTGGAAAGCCTCTGATCTGGAACCCGAGCACAGGGGTGGGTCACAGAGGGACGTGGGGATGGGGAAGATGCCATGCTCCTCCAAGAGCAGCCACAGAAGCCACAGCTGGCCCCCCCTGGGGCAACCCAACATGTCAACACCATTAGACCTTGTACCAAAGAAGAGGGTGACACCCAGGCGATTCTTTTACCACAGCTTAGGTGGGTCTTGGATCTTTGCATTTTACAAAAGCGACTTTAAAAAGACCCTTTGGGGTCCTGATCTTGTTTTGGGAAGACAAAAGGCACAAAGAAGACATGAAGGGAAGTTGGCAGGTGGTGGCCTTAGGGGAGGTGAGGTAATGGTGAGCAAACCCAAGAATCTCTTGGGCTGAGGTTTAAAAATATACTGATGCCCAGGCTCCCCTTACACCCATAAGGTCAGACTCTCCTGGGGCCTTGCCTGGCCATCAGTAATTTTTTTTTTGAGAGAGAATTTTAATATTTATTTCTTAGTTTTCAGCGGATACAACATCTTTGTTTGTATGTGGTGCTGAGGATCGAACCCGGGCCGCAAGCATGCCAGGCGAGCACGCTACTGGCTTGAGCCACATCCCCAGCCCGCCATCAATAATTTTTAAAAGTTCTACTGAACACCCAGCATTGTGTCCCATTTTCCTAAGGACTGAAGAGCTGAGGTGCCAGGGAGTTCACCACCTAAACAACTGACCTGGAGAACCATGTGTGAGGAAGCCCCAGAGTTCTGACTTCTCCCACGAGGACTACTTTGATTGTATTTTTGGAAATATTAAATATTGCATGAATAAAAAGTTAATGTGATATATATATGTGTGTGTATATATATATGTATATATATATAATATTGAATTTTATATATATTCCACTCCAATAATATTGCATTATATATATATATATATATATATATATATATATATATATATGAATGAATATATATGTATGATGGAATATTATTCAGCCTTAAAGAAGAATGAAATATGGCATTTTCCAGATAATGGAGGGAGCTGGAGAATATCAAGCTAAGTGAAATAAGCCAATCCCCAAAAAACAAAGGCCAAATGTTTTCTCTGATATACAGATGCTAATTCACAATGCTAGGGAAGAATAGAATTACTTTAGATTAGGTAGAGGGGAGTGAAGGGAAGGGAGGGGCTCTGGGGGCAGGAAGGATAGTAGAATGAATCAGACATTCATTATTACCCTATGTACACATATAAGACCGGTGGGATTCTACATCACGTACAATCAGAAGAATGGGAAGTTATACTCCATTGATAGATGTATCAAAGTGTATTCTACTGTCATGTATAACTAATTAAAACAAAAAATTTAAAAAATGTAATGGAAAATAGTTCTCTTACTTTTTAATTTTCAGTGCTTGGAGCATGAGCTTGGCTTACCTGTTGGGCCCTCCAGCCTGGGGACAGCAGGGTAGCCCAGTCATGCCCAATATGGCAAAGGGGCTCTGACAGTTGGCAATTGGTCTACTAAACATGAAAAACTGGCTCTTGTGCCTCTGTAATCAACCCTCCTTTAGACCATAGTGTGCTGAGTACACCTATGGTCTTGCCAAGGGTCTGGCCCAGCAGGTAGAATTTTCCACTTAAGATATAAAAATTCATGTCACTTGTGGACTTGGCAGTGATTCCCATGAGTCTGACCCACTTCCAGGCAGGAAGGACAGCCCTCAGGTTTAAGCTCTGTAAGGACAGGCTGAAGACCAGTAGCCTTTGGGTTATCAGAGGTAACTTGTTATGTGACAAGCTTGTTACATGATGAGCTTTTGCATGTGATTTTGATGTTGAGGAATTTACAAAACTTGGACTAAGTTGTCTCAGAACTTCTTCAAGCTGCCAGATGTTGAGAGCCACAGCTGAAGCGGCCCCAGCAAACTTCCAGCTGGTTGGCTCCTCTGTGGTGATGCTCATTGGGCTGTTTCCCTGCCCTTTCAGACCACGGAGCTGCTCATTGGGGGATTCTTTTGGCTCCGCCCATGCGACCCAGCCAATCGGCCTCAAGAGTGGGAGGAGTGGGGGAGGTTGAGGGGCTTTTGGGAAGCCGGTGGTGGCAGTTGGGCTCTAAGGGAACTCCTGAAGAGCTTGTGTGGTGCGGCGTGTGTGTTCTAAAAATAAAGTTTGTTTCTGCTTGACAAGTGGCTCGTGAATTGTGCCCAGCCAGACTGCGGCATTTGGTGGCCCGCACGGGTAAGGACTGAGGGTAAGTGATAAGGTAAACTGCTCGCCCCTGAGGGCAGGGCGAGAGGATGGGTAGCCATTTTAAGATTCTTCTTTCGTTTTGTTTCACTTTTGTTTTAAGTTGCCTGTCCCTGGAGATGGGTGAGACGGGAAGAAAAACCGCTCACATTTGAGGAAAAACTATTTGCGTCTGAGGAACAGATAGGGAGAAAGGACGGATGGACATTTCAGGAGGATAGAAAGGCTGATATAATAAATTTTTGTTCCATTCTGTTTCAGTTTTGTTTGGTGTTATCTTGTTGGGTTGTGTTATCTTTATAGTAGAAATATGGGATCAGAAATTAGTAAAAAACAAACCGAAAGAGTGTTAAGTAAATTGTTAGAGGAAGGAGGCACCCCAATAAAACCAAGAACAGTCAGGGCATACGTTGATACAATACAAAAATGTAGCCCATGGCTTTTTAAGGAGGAATTGTTGAATATATCACAATGGGACCATCATGGTGAAGATTTAAGGGAGAGGGAAAAGAAAAACCCAGGAACTCTGCCAGTTGGCACAATGCTATTGTGGATGATGATACGATTTTGTTTGCCTAGTCCAAAGCCTTCAGTTCAGACTATGGTAGAAGACATGTTAGATCAAGTAAAAGAGAAGGTCTCTCGAGCTAGTCAGACAGAGGAAGAAAATTTAAAGGAGGAAAAGCCATCAGGGGAGAAGTTACAACAGGAGGCTGTTACTAACACCTTTCTATCACCAGAGGGCGTAAGTGTCCAACCAACAGCTCCACCTCCATATGCTGGGAGGCCCCCAACCCCCAAAGTTGATAGATTGGATCCTGAGACAGGACCTCAAAGATTAGCATGCCCTGTATTTGAACAGGCAGGAGGGCAGTGAATTCACCATGTTTTAGATTTCAAAACAGTGAAGCATACATATTTTCTCTACACTAGAAGAAGCTACAAATTTTCATAAAAAGTTCCATGTCAATGCTAATACTTTACAAAAGCGATTTAAAATAACTAAGGAACAGCTAGACAAATAATAAAACAATGTCAAAATTGTATGACCGTTTTACCACAAGTTAATCTTGGAGTCAATCCTAGAGGACTGATACCTAACCATATTTGGCAGATGGACGTCACACACTTGCCAGAATTTGGAAAATTAAAATATTTGCATGTTACAGTTGATACTTCTTCTGGATTTTTGATGGGCTCCCTTCATACCGGAGAAAAAAAAACTAAAGATATTATAGCTCATTGCTTACAAAATGTTGCCACTGTAGGTGTTCCAAAACAGTTAAAAACAGATAATGGTCCTGGCTATACTTCTACCTCTTTAAACAATTTTGCTCATCATTTGGCATTACTCATATAACAGGAATCCCATACAATCCACAGGGACAAGGCATAGTTGAAAGAGCTCATCAAACTATTAAAATGTACTTATTAAATCAAAAAGAGGGAATTGGGAAGGGGTATATATCCCCCAAACATAAACTTAAAATAACCCTTTTTACTCTAAACTTTTAAAATTTGGATTCATCAGGGCTTAGTGCTGCGGAAAGGCATATGTGTCCAAAAAATGTACATAAGCCCAAGGTACTTTGAAAGGATATTCTAATAGGACAATGGAAAGGTCCTGACCCAGTGATTGTCTGGAGTCGGGGTTCTGTTTGTGTGTTTCCACAGGGAGAACAGCAGCTGATTTGGATTCCAGAGAGATTAACTAAGGTCCTAACCCAGTGATTGTCTGGAGTCGGAGGTCTGTTTGTGTGTTTCCATAGGGAGAACAGCAGCCGATTTGGATTCCAGAGAGATTAACTAAAGCGATTTCTACAGACCAAAAAGAAGATGATTTGGCTCAAATCCATAACAGCTGATATCCAGAACTCCAGTTTGGCTATCCTTACATCTGCAACAGTGGTTCTCCCACACCTGGAGGCTAATGAAACCAGGATGTTTTTTTTTTTTTTTTCGATATCTATTTTATTATTGCCCTTTCCCACATCATGAAGTTCTATTTTGTTTTTTGAGCTCATACAGACCTAGGTTAATGTTTTGCTGATCAGTTCTATTTTTTGACTATGGAGTTTTTAAACATTGCAATGGAGATTTCACCTGTAAAAAGTTACAAGGCCTTTACTATTATGTTATGTGTTGTATGTATTATATTATGTGTGCACACTTGTGTTTTGTGTTGTATGTTTGTATGTGCATATGTCCATATATCATATATGACGAGCGCTCATGAAAAAATGGATCCAAATATTTTTTTTTCTTATTCACGTGATTTAAATGGTTTAATTTAAATTGGGTAAACAGCTGTTGAGGATTGTTTTAATATGTGAACAAAAAAGGAGGTTAACAGATCTGTTTGTTTACTTTCACCTTTCCTTTTCATTATATTTAATAATTCTGTTCAGGATAATGTAAATTGTTCAGAAAATTGTTTTCTTTTAGTGCCTGCTGGAATGTTACATAATTTTTTCTTTAGCCATTATTGCCAGAATTCCTATCTTCATCCCAGTGCTGGTGAAGACAAAGATAAAACCAAACTACAGCTTCTGCAATAGCTATCATTGAACTGCTTGCAGAACTTGCCTCGACTATGTATCACTTGTATGCATTGTGAACTATCTGTTGGTGCAGTGACTTGTGGTAGTGCCGGGGTATTTTTGCTGATGGTGTCATCGGTGGTACAATTTTTCCAAAAGGAGCCAGTGTATCCTCCTCCCTTCTGCTTGTGATGGTCGTTCAGCTAAAATTTGGGGGCCAACAGAGGTGAGGCAAAGAACTTCACCCCCCCACTAGTACAAAGGCCTATCCACAGGTGTGGCTGTATGCTGGGCCGGTAGTCAATGACGGGTAAGATCCAATTTCAATGGTACCAACCTAAGACAGGAGGCTGACGCCTTGAGGTCAGCCCATCTGATGACGGGTAAGGACCATATGTACTATTGGACAACCTAAGGCAGGCACGGTCCCTAAGCCACATGCTTGTTGTTTAATTAAACAGAGAGGGGGAGATGTTAGAGTCACAGCTGAAGCAGCCCCAGCAAACTTCCAGCTGATTTGCTCACTGCGGCCCCAGCAAACTTCCAGCTGATTTGCTCACTGCGGCCCCAGCAAACTTCCAGCTGATTGGCTCACCGCGGCCCTAGCAAACTTCCAACTGATTGGCTCCTCTGCCGTGATGCTCATTGGGCTGTTTCCCTGCCCTTTCAGACCACGGAGCTGCTCATTGGGGGACCCTTTTGGCTCCGCCCACACAACCCAGCCAATCGGCCTCAAGAGCAGGAGGAGTGGGGGTTGAGAGGCTCTCCGGAAGCCGGTGGTGGCAGTTGGGCTCTAAGGGAATTCCTGAAGAGCTCGTGTGGTGCTGCATGTGTGTTCTAAAAATAAAGTTCGTTTCTGCTTGACAAGTGGCTCGTGAATTGTGCCCAGCCAGACTGCAGCAGCCAGTGAAGAGGGAAAACCATCTGCTGTTCTCTTTGTAGCTCTCTGATATTCTGGACATGTTGCCTTAAAAAATCCCGTTTAATTTTAGTATGAGTTGTGGACCCAAAGGCCATAGAGGCCCACTCCACATGACGAGAGCAGATTTTGGCCTGAAGCCCAACCTAGTGAAGGGAGAACTCTGCTCTTCCCTCAAAGGAAATTCTAGATGCTTCTGTGACCTCCATGAAGGAATAAAAACTTCATGCAGAAAATTATGGCAGGAGCATAGCAGTTTTTATTACATTGAGAGCCAAGGAAAACTTCAGGATCATATTTCCATATAGCAGAATAGTGTGAATATCTCTGTGAATCTGTAATAGTATGAATATCAGCATGAATCATCAGATTTTTAAGTTGTGATTTTGTGTTGGGTAAAGGGACTTGGATCTGTTCCTTTGTAAATGAGATTACAAATTCCTTGAGAGCAGTAAGAACTTTATAGTCACAACAGGACCCACCCAACTAAAAACCAGAGTGACCCACAGAATTTAGCTCATATCATGTTTCTAGTCTGCTTAGAATCTGCTCTGGTTCCTGTCTCTCTCAGGAAAAGACCAGGTCCTGATGAAGTCCCACCAGACCTGTGTGACCTGGACCATGACCTCTCTGAGCTGCTGTCTGACCTGAGGGGTGCCAGGTGCAATGCTGAGCCTGTGGGCTGCTCCCTCACCCTAGAATGCCCCCTCCTGGCTATCTCTTGCCAGCTCCCTCAGTGGATTCAGGTGTGCACCCCAAGGCCACCTCTCAGTAAACCTTTCCTCACGGGCCTCCCTGAGAGACAGTCTCTCTGCATTCTGAGATAGGATCAGGGTTGACACTGGTTAGAGCTCCTATGTTGGGCTGGGAGCTGCCCCTCAAGTTCATGGCTGGAGTCTTTGTCCTTTAGTAGGTACATGGGGGAAAAAAAGAAAAAAACCCTCATTATGAATAACCAAGTGAGGGGAAAAAACCTTTCATCTTAAAAGGCCCCAGCTATAATTTGGGACCTGAACTTGTCAGACTGGAAGATCAGAATTTCAAAATTCAATGGAGGTGAAATTACAACCCAGGAGTTGCAAATCCCGAGTTACTAATGCTTCGAACTACCTGGTGAGTCACATGCATGTCATTGACCCAAGGTTGGTGGGCTGCAGAAGGGGAATGACCAAACAGTGGCTTCATTCTTGTGTGAGTCAGTCAGTGCCATACTGGGAAAGTGATAGCCGGTGGTCACTGGTTCCCTTTGCTGCCCAGCCCTTTCACCAGGGCCTGTTGGGCATCTCTGGTCCCACCCCAGTGACGGCAAAACAGCAAAATGGCCCATTCCTCGTAAAGATGGGTAAGAGCCATCATCTTTCCATGGAGAAGAAAAAGTGAGCTTTATAACGAGTTTTCTTTTCCCTCCTCCTCCTCCTCCTCCTCCTCCTCCTCTTCTTTTTTACAAGAGCACAAATCCATCTTTATTTATTTTCCATTAGTTTAAATCCTTGAGGGGCACAGCATCATATGGATTCTGTGTCCAATGGCCTTAGCAGGAAGGTTGCTTGGGAATTTGGCCCGAACCATGCCACTGTTTCCTTTCCCCAGATCACCCTGGTTTTGTTTGGTTTGTCACCAGGAGTCACTGTGTTGTTTTTTTACTTTGTACACATAAGAACATCTTTTGCCCAAGTAGAACTTGGCTTCATCTCTGGCATAAACAGAAATATGGAACGCTTCACGAATTAGCATGTCATCTTGCACAGGGGCCATGCTAATCTTCTCTGTATCGTTCCGATTTTAGGATATGTGCTGCCAAAGTGAGCACTTGAGAACAAGTTTTATCAGCACACAGAAATGCAATGGTTGAGCAGTGACTGAATCGTAAGAAGTTATGAAGTTGGAAAAATCTTAATCTTTTGACCACATAAAATCATGAGATGCCTAGGTAGCTCTTGTGTTGTGAAATTCTATGAAACACATCAACTAAGCCTAAATGAGGTGGGACTATATGTCGGGACTGTGGTCTTAACAAATGTAGCAGAACTCACATTCGTAGGCGTAAAATTTAGACATTTCAAATCTAAGTGGCTTAGACGTAGTCATCTTAAGTGTCTAAGCCATGGCTCGAGAGAGCTTGTGGGATTGCTTTTAAAACTGGCTAATTTCACTGGGTAAGCGCATGTTTTGAGCAATGTCTTCCTGGCATAAGCCTGTGGTCCTCTGTGTGGACATGTCTACAGGCAGCATTCATGTGGATGAATGAGTTCTGGTGGGATTTTAAGGAACTAGATTTTGCTTTCATGGAACCTGTATCCTTTTACAGAGTGTCTTTGGTAGAACACGCTCTGCAAAGTTGGTGGCAATGATACCCCCATCCCAAACGCCCTTCCTCAACATGACCTTGCCATTCCTCCATCAAGAGGTAGAATCATATTTCTTCCCCTTGAATCTGGGCTGGCCTTGGGAACTTGCTCCACCAACAGCATGTGGCAGAAGTCATTTTTGGAACTTCAAGGCGAGGTCGTCAGCAGTCTGGGTTTCTGAGGAAGCTTGCTCTTGGGACACTTCTCTCAGAATCCAGATGCCATGACATGAGAAAATCAAGCCACGTGGCCATGTGTGGGTGTTTAGATCACCAGCTCCCACTGACCTCCCAGCCAGAGGCCAGCAACAACTGCCATCTCCCTGTGTACTGCATCCTAGACATCCAGCCCAGTCAAACCTCAGATGATAACAGTCTCAGTGGACACTAGACGACACTCAACCATGTGAGGGAACCCAGAGAGAACTGACCAGCTGGGTCAAAGTTCCCCAGAACTTTGGGGAAATTAATAATCATTGCTTCAAGGGAGCAAACGTTGCAGTGGTTTGTTACGCAGCAATAGATACCCGGGACAGTATCTGAGATCTAAAAAAACAGATTTTTCTTACCGAGCAAATTCAATGCCAAATGCCGTCCGCGTCTCTGTTCCTCCTCTCTGCTCAATGTGGCTGGCAGCTTCCACTACATCCTTCACAGACCTGTAGTCATTGAGGTGAAACTCATGGACCACATCTTCTCCATACTGCACGACTCCAACCTGCATGGCAGAGGAGAGCGTGAAGGAACGTCTTGGCCCCTGAAAATTAGACCTCTGGTGGCAAGAGCCCCCAGGAATGATCTTCCCTTGTCATGATTCGGGAGTGAGAGATCACCCTCCCCAAGATGTCACCGCAGCCCAGGGAAAGCAGCTTTTGCATTATTCCAGGAATGAACAGATGGTTCAGTGGGACGAGTTGGGGCCACAAACAGAGTAAGGGCATCTTGTGATCTAAGGAGAGGCCTGACTGACTGATCACACGTCTTCTTAGGAAGAAAACAGTCGGCACAGCATGGATGTCTAAGTTAGCAGGAGCAGTGTGGGTGGAGGGCCTGGGTGTTGTTTCCAAACTCTAAAATCAAGATTCTTTAAAACTGGAAGGAAGGGCTGGGATTGTGGCTCAGTGGTAGAGCGCTTGCCTAGCATGTGCAAGGCCCTGGGTTAGATCCTCAGCACCACATAAAAATAAATAAATTAAATAAAGGTATTGTGTCCAACTATAACTAAAAAATAAATATTAAAAAAAAATGGAAGGGAAGAGGCTCTTGCATCCCCAAGGATAATAAAATATAGGCAACATTAGTAGCTCAGAAATAAAAAAAAAAAAACAAACCCTTAATGACCTATAGTAGGGATTAAATGATAAACGTTGCCGTTGGATGGCCCACTGAGTTTACTTGGCACAAGTCCCCTTCAAATGCTGGACGTTCTCTCGGATGCCCTAAGAGCTATTTTCTCAGTGGCGGGGAACCCTGACTCCATGAGAAATTCCACTTCCTCTTCAACAGCTCTACTTGTAAAAAATAATTTTTTAGAGTGACTTGCCATCTACCATCTTGAAACTTTTATCCATTGATCCTCATTTAGTCAAAATAATAGGAATGAATACCCTATCTTGAGCCAGACGTGATGGCTATTACCTCCTTCTGGTCTTCTCTCCAAAACCAATCCTAATGTTCCTGCCCTTGCTCTGCAGGGTTCTGGGGCCTGCTCAGCCCTCCAACCCTCCTGCTCAGAACGTCTTTGTAGGTGGGGACTACCCAGAAGTCAGTATTTTGCCGATGAGTGTGGCCTCCCCAAACTGTCCCTTGATGTGCTCACTAGGGATTGGCATCCTAGGCTGCAGGGACCCAGTGCTGGCTGGCCAAGGTTTCCTGTGCACTTCCTTAGGGCATGTGAAGATGCTCTTTGACACCCCTGGGCAGCTGGGTCAGTGGGCTCAGCGGGGAGATCCTGTTGAGAGGAGGAAAGAGCCCCAGAGACTCACCTGGATCTGCCCTGGACCAATGTAAAACTTCTTCAGGATATTAATGAGAAAGTGCTGGACCTCCACCCAGGGGTAGATGCTGTTGGAGCCATCCAGGACAATGACGATGTCCATGTAGGTCTGGCACCCTGGGAAGTGAGGACAGGGTCATGGCTAGCCAAGGAACCAGTGTCTGCACCTCTCTGATTTTCCGGATGATTGTTCAGAGGATGACAGAAGAATTGACTGCTACCTGTGTGTCATTCCCTGGACTGAGGAGCACCTTGGGCTCAGCACGTTTGGGGAACATGAATGACGAGTCTGGGGTTTCCTGGCTCTGTTCTACCACTCTGTGGGCTGTTTGATCAAAACAAAAAAGAAGCCTGACCGTCTCTGCTCTTGATTAGGAACTGACCAGTGCCAATTGGTCAAAGCTTCCAAGGCAGGTGGCTCTGTCCATATGAGGGCCTCTTGTCATTTGCTTCACTATAACAGGCCTCTGGCTTTTACCACTGGCAGCCCGAATGAGAGGATTTCACGTTTAGGGAGGAGCTAAGAATCTGGATTCTGACACCAGGTGATTTTGACTCCTGGCCTCACCACTCACTAGCTGTGTGACCTGTGGATAGTCATGTAACCTCTCAGCATCAGTTTTCTCTGCACTGAAAGAGGCATAAAAATAAATAGCAGTTGCCACGAGGAACTAGCAAGATTCTTCTAAAGGGTTGGGCACAAAGCTCAAGAAATCTTAGTTGATTCTATTTTTATTTATTTTTTAAAAGTAAATCACTGAGTTAATGTGGCAGTGACCTCATCTGGTCAAGCTCTTGGCCTTTACTCTACCTCTGAACATAAATCTTGCTTTATATTTTTTCATATTAATACCAAGTTAAAGGGGATAATAAAAATTAACAACAAAAAAAAAATGAATCAGACGTGGGCACTGTAACAAATATTCAAAAAAAGACTTAAAATCTAAGCACTGTTTGCTGATGGTCAGGGTTACTTTGGAAGATAGCATACATGATGTATCTGGGCATCTGCTTATTTCACGGTGGACCTTTCACACTGTTAGAAGGTCTTCCTTAACCATGCTGGGAGCCTGTCCTGTGTTAGACATTCCCCGCATCCTTGCATAGTGAAAGTGTCCCGTGGAACTCCGTGTTCCCGGGTAGAGGAAGGTGGTGGCTTTCAGCCCAGGTGCTTGTTGGGGCTTTGTGTTTGATGGAGCACTTGGGAAATGTTGGGTGACTGGGAGGCTCAAACACCTTGCCACTGGCTTGCTGTGTACGGCTGGCAGTGACCTGACACTTCTGGCCTGACTAAGCCAGATAGAGTTGTCTTTTTCCAGTTTGTTTTAGCTCAACACTTTTGGACTGAGCACCTGATATGCCAGAACTCTGCCCGGCGTTGGCAGCCATGGAGGGAGACTAGACCAAATGACTTGATTTGGAGGAGTTTATGATCTCCTGGGAGGGATTAGGTTTCTTTTATTTTTAAACTATCTTTATTATTAGAACACAATTTTTATCACTGATTTCTTTCTTACAATTTCAATTTTTTTAAAAAAGACACCTTGGGAAGAATGCGGCTTTTGGTCTGCGGTTCCTGAACGACTTGGCTGAACACTCTCTTGGGGAGTTCCCCCGCCCTCCTCTCTCCACGCATACCAGGGCCTATCCTACACCTACTGGGTTGCAGTCTACACAGATGGCCTGGCGTCTGTATCTGATCAGCTGTCAGGACACTGCTGGCTGGCTGGGCCATGAGGCCTCTGCTAGAGGAGGTTTAGGGAGGCTGGAATGGTCAAATTTCCATTTGCAGAGAACAGTGGCTCTAGGGACATGATGTTCCCAGTGGAAACCCGTGTGCCTGATGTGGGCCTCTTCCTGTGCTCTGGCACTGCCTTTCCTGCCCTTTAGTGTCCTCCTCATTGCCCTAAGAGGACTACTCGCCAGCCCCTGTTAGACTGACCCTCCTCCTCCTCCCTCCCCCCGGCCCCATCTTTCCACCCCTGACTGGCCCCATTGTTTGGAGGGAGGCTGCCTGCAAGCCCGAGGTGCTAATCCCCTCACCCTCCATAAAACGGGCAGCAGCTGCTTGGGTGAGGGTGTTTAGCACAGAAGAAACAGTAGGGCTCAGAGCCAAGGCGTCTGGGCTTTCTGGGGTGAGGTCTGAGCACCAATTCCCCAGATTTCTTGGTGGCTGGGGAATGAGGGAAGGTTTGTTTTCCACTAAGCCCTGGGCAGGCTGTGCTGAACTCCCAGAAGCCTGGGAGAACAGATCCAGCATGATTATGCCAAGGACCTTTCTCTACCCCATGGCTCTCCTCCTGCTGGGTGTTACTCAACACCAGGAGTGCTATATGCATTGCAGTCTAAGTGAATGGCACCTGGGGACGGTCTGTGGCACGTGGCGGCCTGGCAACCCCTCTCATGCAAAGGGTCTTCGCAGTGAGGCACCCTTGGTGCCAGGGCTGTCTTCACAACCTTAGTTCTTTCGCTCCCACCATCATACTGTAGGCGGGGGCGCACCAGGAACATGATCCCACAGAGGCCCAACCAAGTGACCTGATCCTAGGTCATCCCAAGGGCTGGGGCAGGGCGGAACTAGAATCCAACCAAATGCTGCTCTGTAGCCAGGATAACAGTGACCAGAGGCCCAAGCCTTCCAAGACTGTTCCCAGCTCAGCCCATCTGTAGATCTGAAGCCACTTACTTTGAAGAGCTGGGGCCACGGTCTTGGAGAACCGGAAATTGGAGTTGACTCGCGAGCACATCCCTGTGGTGTAGTAGGAGCTTCCACACTCATGAGACCAGAGGGGGCTGCAGGCCTGAGAAGTACAGTGTAGGCCCCTGGTCAGTGGGTGAGACAGAGAGGGCCCGGCCCAACGACCCATGGTCTAGCCCCAACCTCCATGACCCTGGACAGACATCTTTTCTCAGAGTGTCGTTGTCCCCAGGGATGAGAGGGTCTTTGTTAAGTCTCACCACGCTTTCTCTTGCTGCAGTGTGCACCAGCTCCCTTTGTGTCAGGGGTAATGGGGAGCTACCAGTCTTGGAGTCCTCCTTTGTTGTGATTTCAAGACCTCGTTCTCCATTTTGTTATTTAGGGTATGACTCTTCTTCCTCCAACTTGCCCACCCCTCCCACCACATAGGATCTAGGGAAAATCTAGGGACACTTTACAGTCATGGGAGTGGACCCTTCAAGGGTCACTAGGCAAGATCCTTTATCTGCAGAGGCCACCTGATGGTCCTTACTGGGCAATTTTCCAGGACTGGGTCCCAACAACACGCCATGCTCTTACTAGGGAAAGATGGAAAAAGAAAAAAAAAAAGGTCTTTGCTATTTCTGTAAAATTTGCAATCAAAAGCATTGATGTCACACCCTCATTGGAGGACTGAAGTGATGAGTCTCTCTCAGAGGTAGGGTTGTTAAAAATGGAAACTCATCTCCATGCCTCCATTTTTGTCCTGCTCTCAGGACACCCCAGGCTAAGTTTTGTGCAGTAATTTCCTTCGGTTTAGGGGAGGAATTGTTCTCCCAAACCATTTCTTTAATTAGTTTTCTTTTTAACCTACATTTAAAGGTTATGATTTATCTGTGTCTTTTGTTGAAACTGCTGTCAATTATTTTGGAATAAAGGAGGGAATAAAGAATGGGAGGATGGATGGGTAGATAGAAAGACGATGGATGAATAGCTGGGTAGATGACCAATGGACGGTGAATGAATGGGTATAATATAGATGGTGGATGGGTGGATGATGGATGGAAGAATGGAAGGGTGAGTAACTGGACTGAGGCGTAGACAGATGTGTAGATGAATCATTGGGTGGATACATGAGTAGAGGGGTGGATGATTGGCAGGGGTTGGACTGATGAGTGAATCAAGGAATGGATGAGTGAACGAGTTAACAAAGAATCAGGCATCTATTTATTTTAATTTCTCTTTATGGTTCTGGGGATTAAACCCAAAGATGCTCTTCCACTGAGCTACACCCCCAGTCCTTTTCATTTTGAGATGGGGTCTCATTACCCAGGTTGGCCTGGAGCTTGCAATTCTCCTGCCTCAGCCTCCTGAGTTGCTGGGGTTACAGGATTGGGCTACCATGTTAGGCTAAAAGCTGCTCCCAGGGAGCTCCAAGCTCCAAGAGGAGTCCTCTTAGACCTCATCCCACCTTGTGAAGTAAGTGAAATCAAATTAGTGAGAGTGTGACAAGGAGCTACAGGCAGAAAAGGGAGTGGAGACAAAGGCCCTAAAGGATGTGTGTGTGGACGGGGCTGGGGCCCTGCTTTGCCTGTGGTTGGGGATAATGGAGGACCTGCCATGGACATATATTGAAGCATCCTGATGCCTGGTGCTGCACACCCCAGAGGTCTCATCTGCCAGCAGAAATGGACTGATGGACAAAAACAGAGAGTGACACAAGCCCCCCCCCCCATTTAAAAGTGGGTGGTAACTTGTGTTGAACTTTCTGGGGTAATTTTTTCCTGAAATCTCCTCATGTAGGAACTATCAGGCCCAGAAGGATCCTGTTTGGAGCACCAAGCATCACCCATTATGACAGGGAGCAGGTGCTACCCATCAGTTATGCCACTGAGTTCCCAGACTGTAGTCAGTACTGGCGTGTGCTCCTGGGGTAGGGGACAGACCCCCAAGATGGCCCACTGATGTCTTCCTGTCCCCAGATCACATGTGTTACTTATTTGCTTCTCTTCCAACCAGAGCCAGGAGCAGGAGCTCTGGGCACTGCTGGAGTCCCCAGGGGCCTCACCGGGCTCAGTACACACTAGGTGCTCAAAAAGTTGTCTAAACAAATGAGTGTTTTTGCCACTGCAGCCCAGACACCTTCTTTTCTTTCTTCTTTGCTAGGACCTGTTTGTAAAAACAAAACAGGAACCTCTCCCAGCCTGCCACATTCAATCCCAGATGTCCAGATGGCCTGCCATTCCATATCCCTTCCCTGGGTGGCAGTGCATCTGTGTCTCTTCATTTCTGGTTTCCCTACAGTCTTAGGTGGAGTGACATGTCTTGTTTCTTTCATTGCATGTGGGATTTGGTCTCTGCCCCAGGAAACTGGCTTCCCAAGGAATGGATGGTCCCTGTCAGCCGTTGGCTGTATTTATCCTTGTCCCTTTTCTGGCTGCTCCTCTACCCTGGGTATGCACACAAAGGACTCAATCCTTTTTTCTGCGTGAACTGTCCCCTCCAAACTGACACCTCCCTGGGTGTTTGGGTGTCCCCTCAGACACCCGGAAAGGCAGAAGCCTGTGGAGGGGCTTCCTCCTGCTGGGCCTGGGGTGGTGCGACTGAGGGTGGAGTTGGGTGGGGTGAGCGAGTCTGAGGTGCCGATGGGGTGTGAGGACTTCCAGTCCCCGACCTCTCCCACTCCATGCAGCAGGTCTGGGTGGGCAGGAAGGGCTGGGCAGCACAATGGGGCAGGTGGCTCTTACCAGGAAGCTGTTGTCCTTGGGGTTGGTGGCGAGGCTCAGGCCGAGGCGCATGTTGTCTTTCCGCTCAGACACGTTGGACAGGGTGACCCTTCCTGGGGACGGGGTAGATGCTTAGCCTGCAGCCCCCTCCTGCCCACCCTCCCCCCAGAGCTGCTGCTGGTCCCTGAGGTGCCTGGGTCCCCTTGCTCCCCAGACACAATCTCATTCCTTCCTCACAGGTCCCTGGGAGATGTGCAAACTGAGTCTCAAAGAGGCCAAGCAATAGTTGAAGATCACACAGTAAACCCACGGCAGAGCCTTCCTCCAGTCCAGGCCTTCTCCTCTACCAGTCATCTGACTGGGCCCCAACGTCCCCCTGTGCCCACCCCAAACACACCATGGTGCCCACTGAGGACGCGTCCTCTGGGCAGCGTCCCTTCCACCGACACTTGCCAACCCTGGTCCTGCTCTTTCAGGCTCCCTTCTCTGCTCATCTGCCAAAGTGACAGAGGGTGATGGAGAGATTCTCTCTCACAAGGACAACTGGACAGGAGACTTCTGGAGCTTTTGAGAAACTGATGTGACTCCATTTTTGATAATAAATAACAGCAGCTTCTACCTCAAGGCCTGTCCTAAGGAAGGCGGTGTGACTCGTCCTTGGAAAGACCCACAGGGCACTCCTAGGCACATACCCACCCTGCTGAGCTGTTTATCTACAAATAACAGGAGAGATCTTTGGCTCCAGGTGTCCCTGACTCAGTCAGGCTAGGTGGGGACCCATAGCAACCCCCTAGCAGCCACCAATCAGCATGAGACAGGGAAATACCTGGGATGCCAGATGACCCCCCAGTAGTTTATGGTGGTTGATAACATGTTGGGAAACCATGTAGTTCAGCAGTACTCCCCTCGTGGCTTAAGCCAATCAGTTCAAAGGAATCCCCCTCTTATACTAGCCAATCACCCTTATCCAACTTGTTCCCGCCAGTGAATGTGCTAATCAATGTTAAGAGTTGTTGTTTGATTTTCCCGCGGTATGGAATGATTTGCTGTGTGATGTTGTGACGCATAGAGTATCCCCCCAAAACCTATAAAATCTGACTGAACAAAGGACTGGGACTCACTCCCTGGGACCGCTGCGTTGGGAACGGTTGTTAAGTCCAGGCTCGAGCTTGCAATAAAGACTCTTGTGTGATTGCATCGGATTTGGCTCCTGGAGGTCTATTGGGGTCCCACAAATCTGGCATTATACTTTCTAGGTCTTGCAGTCTGTATTTGACTGCCAAGTGGGATACTCAGGGGCAGGGCTATCATCCTGCCAGGTGTAGGCAGAGGGTTGGCTGTTGTAGATTAGAACCACAAACAATTACACCAGTTAGGGTTTTCTGGATCATTCTATCAAGCCACTGAAGGGAAGAAACATGAGCTTGAATCCCCCAGAAGTGGGGTGTGTGTGTGTGTGTGTGTGTGTGTGTGTGTGTGTGTGTGTGTACTGACAGGAAGAGAGAGGGAGGGGCTGGAGCGTGTCAGTCCTGACCTGCTGCCAGGAGAGACCTCGTGTCTTCCCTGCACGGGGGCTTTGGGACCCTCCCCTCAGGATAGTTTGTGTTCTGCTTTGTGGGTGACTGGAGGTATAAAGAGGTGGCCTGGCGCCCAGGGGCACAGGTCAGCAAGGACTGGCAGGGCAGGCCCTGGGGGTGGAGCAGACACGTGACTGCCCTGTGGCCAGAGGGTGGGGGCAGCAAGTTTGTTATTTCTTTCCTTGGGTTTCCCTCGGTTTTCAGCGAGGCTCTTAGGAAATCAAATCCAGCCCCCTTGGCTGTGCTGAGCGACTGGGATTGTCTTCTTTTTTGTCTGTGCAAACAGGCCAGAGAGGAAGTGACAGGAGCAGCCCTGGGGGTCTGAGGGGCCTGGTCCCCACTGAGCTCTGCACACACCTGCCTGCCTGGGACCTCCTCTTGTCCTGGGGGGTCCCGGTGGCACCCTGGCCATCTTACAGGTAAGGAAGTCAAAGTACGGAAAGTGTCGGGGGCTTCCGCAGGGTCACTCCCTGGTAAATAGAATGGGGACTTGAGCCCAGCCACAGGGTGTCATGCCCTCAGTTTATTCCCCACCTAACGGCCTCACAGTGGCAGTGGGGACCGCAGAGGAGGCTCCAAGATCTAACCTGGGAAACTCCGGCCCAGCCAGCGAGGAGGAGTCTGCCCTCGGTTTCTGGAGGGGCATCGTCCCCTCCCTGCTGTCTTCTCTCCTTCCTCTGCCCTGGGACTGAAGTCCACGCTGAGGTGGCACTTCCAGGGGCAGAGGGCTCGGGGGAAAGACCCCTGTGCTGGAGGAACGGGACTCAGGTCCCAGCGCTGCTTCCTCCTGCTTCTACAAATGGAGAGACGGGTGCCCTCTTCTGCAGGTCTGGGGAAGGTCCCCCGGCAGAAGCCCCTGCCTTCATGGGGTCTGCCTTCCAGCATCACGTCACCTCCTCCACCCTGTCCCTCACTGAAGACCCTGACTTCATCCAGGTGCGGAGGGAGGGCTGCCAAGGGAGAGGCTCGATCACACTGACGTGTGAGTGACTGACAGCCACTGAGCTTTCCCTGGGGACAGAAGAACTCCTGACTCAGGACAGCCCAGTGCCTGGAGAGGCCGGGAAACCCAGGGTTCAGGCGCCCAGCCTTGGTTTTCCACGGTGGGATAAACTGGCAGATGGTCTTCCTGCCCTGCATTTTTTTTTTTTTTCTCAGCGGGAGAGAGAGAACCATCCTTCAAATGAAGACAGTTTTCCTCCGTCCCGACTTACTTTGCTCCTCACTACCTCCTGGGCTTGTGCCCCAGCTCAGAAATGTTTTCCAGGGTTTTATGTCTCTTTCTCCTTCTGGAGGGAAATGGGGTTCACATTGGAAGACAGAGCAATAGGCAGAACAAAATGATTAGTTCTGTGCCCATACCCCGCCCGACCCAGGAACTTCTCTCAGTGGCCTGAGTCCTGAGTATAGCGTCCACCTCTCCCACCCCCTCCTTTGCTCCCTCTGCGCCAACTACATACGTGGCCTTTCCTTACATTCTCCAATGGAGCAAACTCACTCCGACCTCAGGGTCTTTGTACTTGCTCTCCCTCTGTCTGGAATACTTCACCGCCATCTTACTCCTTCTCACTGTCAGGCCTTTGCTCAAATATTATCTGTTGAGAAAGGCCTTCCCTGCCTGACCACTTTCTGGCTTATTGTACAGCACTTATTCCATCTGAAATTATCCTGCTTTGTAATTTGTCTATTCATGCATTGTCCCCTCCCAGTAGGGCCCTTGGCTTCTCATTCCCTGCTGCATCCCAATAACTAACAAGCATAGCGCTTGGTACCTATTAATACCTAAGGTAGAGGGGCAGAGGGGCAGAGGGGCCGGGGCTGGAGCTCAGTGGTGGAGCGCTTGACTAGCGTAATTAAAGTCCTGAGTTTAATCCCCAGCTCTAAAAAAAAAAAAAAAAAAAAAAAGGGTGAGGGGCAGGGAAGACCCGGAAGGTTGTTGAATTCACCCTTCCCACTTTCCACTTTACATACGAGCAAATCGAGGCTCAGAGAGAGGCTGTGAGCTCCCCGGCCTCATAGCAAACAGCTTGGACAGCTGGAAGGGGAAAGCCCACCTGGGTCCCTTCAGATGACCAGACCGGAGGTCACCAGCCAGGCTCCCTCCCCTCCTCTGCTGACTCACTGCAGAGCTGGGTTCTGAACTTCCCACCCATGGTGCTGACCCAGATGTGGACAGCAGGGGCCTCCAGCACCATATGACAGGCAGCTGGCCGCCCGGGATCTGATTGACTCTTGGGCTTTTCCTCTTGTTCATCTGCTAACTCTCCAGTCCCCGGCAGGTCCTCCTGCAGGCCCTGCTGCCCTCCTGTCCTCCACCCCCAGGGACACCATGGGATGCTCTAGGGCAGAGGCACCTCCTGGAAGAGGAGGATGGGGAGGTCCAGCATCCTGGCTCTGGGGAAGGCCAGTCCTCCGGGGGGAGGCCGAGAGCTGCAGCTTCTCAGCCCACAGGAGACGGGTCCCTTCTGAGGGCAGAGCCATGGCCTGCCTGGTCTGACCTTTAGGAAAAATGGAAGTGCTTTAGTGGATACACACGTGTGCACCCCAGTGGATTTTGAGGGCTCTGGAGACTGTGGCTGCTCCCGGCATCTCCCGTCCTCCTGCTCCAGAATAGACCTGAGAGCACTTTAGTAGGAAAAGCCTTTGTTCAGAAAGGCAGTGCGGTTCAATGGTCAGCACAGCCAAAGATGGTGGACTGGAGTCCAGGCCCTGCTGCGCACTCACTGGACAACGTGGGACAGGTGCCCTCACTTCAAGTGCTATCGCTCTGTCTTCTGTCCAATAGTTCCATCTCAGATGGGTGTTGAGGGGGTTAAGTGAACCAAAATACCTTAAAAGTGCCCGCACATGGTGGACATTATCTAAGATCCTTGAGTGTCAGCTACTGCTGTTAGTATTTCAAAATCAGAAAGAAGACAGGAAATGGTTTTCTCCTGCTGGGAGAGAAAACTCAAAGAGCCGCAGCCGCGGACGCCAGAGGCCTGGCTTCGAAGCCCATCTGGCCCTGATAAGCCATGTGACTGAGGGGACTTGCTTCCTCCCCAGGCTTTGGCTTCCTCCTCTGTAATATCAGGGCAGTGAGAACAGCCAGGGCCACTCACGGGACAGCTGAGAGGAGCCAGGGGACCGTGAGCATGGACATGCCTCAGAGCTTGCTTCACACTGGACGAGGCGGCCTCTTTGAGAAGACAGCAGCGGCCACACTTACCCAGGTTGAGCTTGGTGCAGTTCCCCTGGATCACTGGACACTTGTACACATCTCCTGTCTTCTGCTGGCCATTGGTTTCCAAAGGGGCGCCCACCACCAGCCTGCAGAGGAAGGGGAGAAAGCAGAGGTGCTGGGGAGGCACTTCTTCCTGGGGGAGGATGGGACCTGGCGGGCAGCGAGGAGGAAAGGCCGGGGCAGGGCGGGGAGGAGGCCTGGAGCAGCAGCCAGGGCCTCAGGCCTGGACCGCAATCCAGCTCCCCTGGGGTCTGGTGCTGAGGTCTGGAGATGCAGAGAGGAAGGCCACACAGGCCCTGCGACAAACAAGAGGGGCAAGTCCCTGCCTAAGGAGTGGGTGCTGGTGGGGCCGGGTGTTCATAGGTGACTAGGAGTTTGTCAAGTGGAGAGGTGGGTCGAGGTGGTCGTGCTGCAGAGGAATGATGCTTTTGGAGCCAGAGTCTTGCCCATCTGTCACTATCTGTCACTATCAGCAGGGTCCTTGTTCATCTCACCAGGGAATCTGTCAGCTGAGCTGAGAGAGATTGGGCACATTGCTCAGTGGTCACTGTATCTTTGCTCAGGTGGACAAGGCAGCTGGAAGGTGAAGGGGTGGCCAGGGTGGCCTGCTAATTGGGGCTTCTGCTTGGGCCTTCCCCTTGTGAACTTGTGGGGAGGAAAGGGGTTTGTAGATGGAACAAAGTTAAGGACCTAGAGTTGAGGTCACCCTGGATTATCCAGGTGGCCCCTAAATCCAATGACAGGTGTCTTTATGAGGGACACAGAATAGAAGTACATGAGAAGGCCAAGTGAAGATGGAGGGACATAGCTGGACTGCTGCCACATGCCAAGGGGTGCCTGGAGCCCCCAGAAACTGAAGAACTGAGGAAGGATTCTCCCTGGGGGCCTCAGGAGGCGGGCAGAGGGGCCACTGCTTCGGTTTTGACCTCCAGGTCTGTGAGAGAAGACATTTCTGTTGTTCTCAACCATTTCACTTGCGCACATTTATTGCAGCAGCCACAGGAAACAAATGATCTTTGTACATATTTCTAGGGAATAGTGATTAGTCACTTTTTCCTGGCCTGGCTGAGCCCTATAGGCAGGGCCTGGGAGGAGAAGCCTATGACCTTGGGCTGTGGGCTCACCTTTGAGGTCAGAGAGATGTCCACCTTGGACAGCCCCCTCCACTATCATCTCCAGGCCCCAGAAGGCAGCACCGTCAGGAAGGCCACAGGAGTCCTAGTCTGACCTGAAGCGAAGCCTCCAGCTCATGAGGGTCCTCTGGCACACCCAGAGCCCTCCAGGACACAGGTGCCGGCCGGCTCTCTGTTCAGGCCTTAATGGTCAATAGTAACTGGAGAGGGTACTCTTTCCCAGAGACAGCAGTGCTGTGATGGGATGGCTGCCACACTCACGATGGCCCTGGGAGGCTCCTAGTTCCAGGGGGTGAAGAAGAGATAGGTGGAGTTGGGGACAGAGGGACCAGGGAGTCATTCCGGAGTCCTGTAAACAGTGTTCTCTTGGTAGTTGCCTGCTACCCGTCACGTGGCCCAAAGAAAAGTCCCTCAGCTGTTTTCTGGCTTAGGATGGTTGAGAGGAGATGCCCACAGGCTCAGGAGCACAGGACATAAGTAGCTTCTCGTGGTCAGATGCCTTGTGCCCCCACCCCAGCCCAGCTCAGGGCGTGAGGAAAGGAAGCCTGGTCCCAAGGGGAGATCGACAGAACTCTGTTTGAAATTAAGTGTCTGTGAAATAAGAACTGAGGTTTCTCCCCTGGGCAGCCAGATAATGACAGAGTCTAAATATAGCCCCTTATTAAACATGCCTATTTTTGACTGGCAGGAATTAATTGGACCTATAAAATCTGTTTGTCTAGACGACATGATTTTTGGCTTCTTATTTCTGGGAGTGATTGTGTGGTCAAGGCTGCTTCATTCTTTCCAGAGAGGTGTGGGGGTGGGGAGGGAGAGAGAAAGAGGAGGGGGGAGAGGAGGGGAGGGAGGGGGGAGAGGGAGAGATGGAGAGATGGAGAGATGGAGAGGGGGAGAGGGGGAGGGAGGGAGGGAGGGAGAGAGAGAGAGAGAGAGAGAGAGAGAGAGAGAGAGAGAGATCCGCCAGTAAAGAAGCTTGAGCCAGCGTGTTGGCCCACGCTATAATCCCAGTAGACCAAGGCAGGAGGATTGCAAGTTCCAGGGCAGCCTGGGCAATTTAGCCAGTCCCTGTTTCAAAAAATAAAATGGATGGTGTTGTGGCTCAGTGTTAGAGCACCCTGGGTTCAACCCCCAGTACCACTTTACAAAAAAGCAGTCAAGCAAGGGCTCCTCGCTAGCTTCTCCAGCTACTTCCATCTTTAAGGTCCCCCTGACAGGTGGCTGAGTCCTCCTGAGGGGTGTCTTCTCCTGAAGACTCTGCTGGCTGGTAGTGCTTTCTGAACAGAGTGTCTTCAAGGAGCACCTCAGGGTGTCTCTGGGAGCCTTGGCGTTTCATGTTCTAAATCAGAAAAGCCACTGCTGTCTTCTGGACCAGCCTGGCGAGGGCAGGATCCCCACAGCTCTTCTCTGTAAAGTGGACCTCTGAGGCCCCTGTGGCCTGCTTGGAGGGGCCCCATAGAGGGTGAGGTCCTTGGGCTAGGAGTCCAGGAGCGGAGTCTTCCTCCTAGCCCTGTCCCTAGTTTGCTGAGTGGTCTTGAGAAATCACTGAATTTTTTGACCTTGGTTTTCCTGGCTCTGAAGTTGGGTGAGCGATTCCGGTCCCGCCGTCCTCCCAGGAAGACTATGGAAAGCCACGGTGTTAGGAGGCATGGGGCTAGCAGGGCCACGTCTGGGAAAGTTACACATAAGACTGGTGGCTTCCTGGAGGAAACGTGTCCTGGCAGTGGCCAAGATGGGACGATCTGGCAGCATATCCACCAAGTCACTGTGACCCCAAGTTTGTAACAGGACAGGGCTTTGTCCTTCTCAAAGAACAAAGGCTGCTCCCAAGTCCCATCTCCATTCTCCCAGACTCATTTCTCTGGGGCTCCTTGGCACTTTCTGGGGGAGCAGGGCAGGGCTTACTCTACCCACAATATAGATGTAGAAACTGAAGCCCCAAGAAAGAGCTGACAGAGGTCCCTCGGATCATTTGCGGCCAGGCTGGGACTGGAGCTCCTGTGAGACAGCTTCCTGCATTGCCCCAAATGTTCCTTTGTTGCGAAGGGAGGCCGGGGTCAGCCCTCCTCCCCATTCAGGGGTGTGGGCATTACGTGTGTCTGTGGGGCTTGAGGTTTGGAGGGTATGATTCAGTCTCACTTTGGGGGGATAACTGCTGCAGCGCAGGGAAAATGTCCACGTCACCGCCAAGACCAGCCAAATGGTTCCTGGGGTCTGGCAGCCCCTGCTACCCCCTGTGGCTCAGCCTCATGCAGCCACCGCAGCCCCAGGGCCTGTGGTGCCTCTTGGCGGCTGGACACCCAATCTCTTCTAGCATGGGCACCAGGCAACGCAGCGAACCCTGCAGGTTGCGGTGGGCATGGGGCCCTGCCAACGGGCTCTGTGCGTGAGTCACGCCTGCGGGCTCTGTGTGCTTCCTGTGAAGGCGCAGGGAGGCGGTGTCGGCTGATGGGGAACTGGCAGTGGCATTTCAGCCTCGGCTCTGCAGCAGGGCCTCACCGAGGGAGGAGGCTCACGGAGGAGGGGGCCACCTGAGGAGGCTGCACATGGCCCCGCCAGGAGCTGGGCTCTGTGACTCCCAGCAGGACACAGGCTGAGAGAAGGAGCCCCGAGCCTGTGCGGCTCAGGTGAATTCTTCCTATCCTGAGCGCCATCCTTCCAGGCATGTTTGACCGTCAACTTTTAAAATTACAATCTTCTGTCATAAAAAAGAGGTGACATGCACTCCCATGCTATGTGTAAATGTATATGACAATGTCAATGTGCACCTAGCTCAGGTTGGACCAGTTTTATCTGCCAGCTAGAGTGATGCTAGCATTGAGGGCATGTGACTCCAGTAATCCCGGTCAGAGTGAAGCTCAGGACTTGTGCTTAGGACACAGGGGCCACGCTGGTCTTTTTCTCTGGGTGCTGTGGTGGGTAGATGCAAGGCCTGGACTGATGGCAGCCACCCTGTGAGGATGAGGGGTGTGAGCTGACACTGAGTGTGGGAGGAGAAGGAACTGGAGACCTGCTGAGATCGTAACCCCTTGGATGAGAGTACACTGGAAGTTCACACTGCTGCTCAATGTCAAAGATATAAGGGCAGCAATCACCATTAACTGCGTAAGGGTTTGGATTGAGTTTGCACGTATTATAACTAAAAAATCCTAACTTTTGAGTGGACAAGGGAAAAGAAAACCTACGTAGCTAGAAGTATCTTTAGAAATCCCAGGTATTACCAGGCTGCTCATCCCCCACCCCACCCCACCCTAGGTTCACCCAGCGGGATCACCGACACCAAGTACGGGATTTCTCTCTGTTGAACTGAATGTGTAAAACTGTCCCCTGCCCACCGCCCAGCCTCAGGGGAACAGAAACCCCTTTGTTCTGTGAGCATCCCACTTACAACAGCCACTTGGACAGGGTACCCTGCACTCCAGATGTTTCTAGTTACCTGGTAACTGGCCGGGAGACTGAGAGCTGGGGAAATTTCCTTGGGCCAACCTTGAATGAGGGCCCAGAGGGCATCCAGGGCCTAGAGCGAGGAAGTGCTGGGTCCCAGACCTCGGGGCTGGTACAGCTGTGAGGCTGCTTGGTGTCCTAACTCTCAAGGGGTGCTTCCTCCAGCCGTGCAGGGTGGAGAGCCGAGGTGGGGCTGGAGCTCCAGGCCCTGCCAGGCCCTTCGTCGGTCGTGTCTGGTGAGGCAGGTGTGAGCCCGGTCTTTCCCCAGCAGACCGCAGACACCTGAGGCCACAAGCACTGAAGGCCACGGGGTGTTGGGGAAAGACCACCTGCCTCTGCAGTTGGTCCTGAGCTGGGAGGTTGGCAGGGAGCTGCCTAGGAAGGGCAAAGACGTGGGCTTAGCCCCCTTCCTGGATAGTCTCGTGGTCTCCCTGTAAGGCCTGGCTCACTGATGATCCATTTCACTTTAATGACTCACGTTCTGCGCAGCTCAGAAGCCATGGGTTTTTATG